CTCTCTGCATTTCTAACAGCCCCAGAAGAGTCTTATTTTTTCTAAAATTTGTGGCTGCTGTCCTGGTGGCATATATGAGCCATCATTTGTCATTTGTGTTACACCTGTAAGGCTTCTGTCTGTAGTAAGTTCCCTGGTGGTTTAAACCTCTGCAGTTGGATTCTCCAGCATTTAAGACAAAGCTGTCTTGGAAAGCACTTCTGTATTCACTGTGTTTGAGAGCCAGCCTCTTGGTGTGAGCTCTCTGTGATTCTGGCAGAATTCCGCACTGGCTGAAAGGTTTCTTATATCCGTGATGTATATAAAGTTCTCTTTGGGATAAAATGCCCACCATTAAGTCAACCGTTTACTTCTTTTTCTTCTATGAGGTTGTCATAGTTAGGGCTCTGATGTTCAGATAGGCCCAGTAGGGAGAGAGAATTTCAGTACCACCATAAGGGTCTCCCAGGGATCCCCAAGGGAAGAGTCAGTGCCCCAGCAAAGTTGTATCAGAGCCCTCAGAGCAGTGGCTTTGAGAGGAAGCCCAGCGCCCTCCTACCCCTGGCCTGGCCTTCCCTCAGCTCGGGTGAGCTGGTCTTGAGGTTGTCTGGTGGAAGATTCAAGTGCAGGGATCAAGATTTGAAGACAGAAAGACCTGGGATCACAGCCTGGCTCTACCACTGTCTGGCTGAGGAACTTCACTTCTCTTAGCCTCCATGTTATTCTTTGTAGGTCATTGGAGGATGGGGTAGGATGGTGAACAGCAGCTGCTGAGTGTACCCCAGACAGAGGATCTTATGCTTCTCTGCATGCTGAGCTTTGCTCCATGACTCACGTTCCCTCTGCCAGTTCCTTCTTGGCTGCAGAAATTGCCACCAGGTCTGAGTGGCAGCCCTCACTCTCCATCTGCTTCTCTGTGACTCACTCAACCCCTTATTTCTCCTCTGGTCTGTTTGAATTTGCATTACCATATCTGTTAAATGCAGAGCACTTAGAGGTCAAGGTCCCATGTGAAGAATCCCATCAAAGACCAAAAAGGAAACATAAAATGGAATTATGAAGCTTAGATTCTAAAACTCAAATGATAAATGCAGAAACTTCACTCAGAACCTAATTGTTCTTACTCAGAAACTGGTAGCTAAGCTTATATTAGGAGCAGCACAGTATGGCTTTAAGAAGCTGTAATTCTGCTGGGCCCAGGTACCTACTGATAGCAGCAAGAAATGGTTGGAACCTCACAGCAAAAAGAAAGAATGAGACGGAAAGAAACAAAAGGAGGGGAAAAAGAAGAAAGAAAAGAAAGAGAAACTTAAGAAACCAGGATCTTTTATACAGGCGGCAGCTGTCATTTATATTAAGCATCAAATGTGTTTGGGGATGGAGATACCTGGGATCTCCCCAAAATGATCTCAGGGAGGTTCACAAGGGCAAAACTACTTTCATACAGTACTAAGACATTACATACCTCATTTACTCTCATTTTTCCCAAGTATGCAGTATGTAAAAGCATCCTGAGATCAGAAAGTTTCAGAATGCCTGAAATAGTGATAAACCGCCCAGCAGCCCAGGGCTGTGACATCAGTGTGTGAGAACAAAGCAGTGTCATGAAGTTTACAATGTAAATCACTACTGCAGGCCTCTGTGAGCCCTTGAGTGCCCCACAATGTCTACCTTGTATCGTGTGTGTGTGTGTGTGTGTGTGTGTGTGTGTGTGTGTGTGTGTGTGACACACAGGTTGCTTGCTAGGGTAGTATTGCATTTTTCCTAGCCCCACGCAGTGGTCCAGCCTGGCACATTTAGTGCTCAGTAAATGTTTTAAAACTGGGTTATCTGATGTTTGATGTTTCCCTGAGGATGCTGGACAAGTTCGTGATTCCATTTGAAGATTCCTTCTACACAGCTCGAGACTGGCTGGAATAAGTTTGAACTGTGTCCTGCTCTGGAGAGGGGAGCCTACCCATCCAGAACCCTGACTTCTATGGCTTGTAAGGGCTCAGGGCCTGGGGACAAAAAATCTGTAGCTCCTTTTGGGGCTAGTAGTACCCCTGAAGCTGTACAGCCCAGCAGCTCTTGAATCGAAGCTGTGACTATCCCTTCCCTCCCCTCAGCCTCAGCGCCATGTCCTGGGAAATAGGTTTCCCAGTTGAACGTCTCACTGATGCCCTGACAGGAAATTGGTGAGAAAGCCACCAGCTCTGTGCCCAGCAGCAGGGAGCACCCATGAGGCCAGCGATGCTATTGGACCATCAGCCTTTGGCCTGTTTTCCACCACTCTGGGGTGATGCTGGAATGCCACAGAGAGACAGAAGTATCATCAGGTTTTCCAAGCAGTGCCAGGGGTGGCAAACCCTGTGGCACTCGTGCCGCAATGGGCTTTTATCATTGAAACCTCCATAAGGTTCGCCATCACTGATCTATACAGGAGATTCCCCCCCCTTTTCATTGAGTTTATTGGTACAATCTAGGTATACAATACAGTTACATTCATCATTGGGATTCTGTACCTTTACATAATAGGTCTTGATTCTCATTTTTTCCCCTTGTCCCTGCCCTCCCTTCACCCCCTCCTCCCCTCCCCATTACACATACTTTATTTCCATTTTTTCAGTTTCTCATATTTTTTCCTCTCCCTTATTACCTTTCCCCCACCCTTCCCACTATCCCTACACCTTTAGCCCTTTACTTCCTATTTCACATTATTAATTATCTCATTAGGATCCTGTGTACTATTATAGTTTTTCACACCAAAGAAACTATTCGGTATTTCAGTTAAAGAAATCTCTGTATGAACATTAAAAATAGGGAATCCTAAAATAAAACTAAAAAGGAAAGTAAAAGAGAAAAGGCAATGATGTAACATCAAAATAATCCTTAATTCTGGAGATGAAAATGGTCCTTGAACATATTTAAATTGCTTCTTGCTCTTACAGTCTTATCTTATTCTTTTTTTCATTATTTAGAGAATACTCTATTAGTTTCTGTAATCAAACCCAGGTAGATATGACCTTACATGTTTAGTACGATGTGTTACCCCTGTACAGGAGATTTCTATGAGAAAGAAAGTGAGCATGGCCACCTGTTCATCTCTTCTCTCATGGAGTACACAGGAGGCCCTGAGCTGGGTAGGCCCCACTCCATACACTAAATTGGCAAGATCTGCATTCCAGCCCCATCTCCTGAGCCCCAGTCCCCACTGAAGGAGACGCACACTGGGCCATCTGCACGGCACCCAGCAGCAGACAGAAGACCAAAGCAACAGCAAGACACCAGCTCACAGGGAGCTGAGGCGCCGCCATGAAGGTCCTGTTAGCCCCCTTCACAGGGAAACTGAGTCACTGTCAGGTTAAGTAACTCGCCAGACATCCCACAGCTAGTGAATGATGGAGCCTGGATTTGAATCCGGGATGCTGCTTTTAGGCAAAAAGTGTTGTGTCAGACTCTGCAGGTTCACGTCACACACTCCCTGCTTCCTCGGGGTCCAGGGTTGAGAGGAGCCCACGAACATGAGGATCCTGGTTACGGTGGAAGTCCTGGCCCTGCTGTTTACTTCTGTGTAACTCAACCACATTGCTTACTTCCTCTCAGCCTTTCTTTATTTAAAAAGTAGGGGCGGTCTTGGGATCTACCCCAAAACTGGTTGGTGGGATCCAGAGTACAGTGCTGCAGGGCAACATAATTCTATGGTTAAAAGAGAGTAGGGTCACTTCCTGCCTGGGAAGCACAAGGACCTGAGTTCGATCCCCAGTACCAAAAAATGAGCAGGAAAAGAAAATAGGGTGAGGAAAGGAAATGCAGTTAAGACTCTGTTAACTGTATGTCCTTGGAGAAGTCATTTAATGACTTAGCAGTCCTATTATTTAAATACACGATGACCAAAAATTGCATATTTTTGGTTAATTTCTATAAGATAACAGGAAAAAATGACAATTTTATTAATTTTACTCAGTAATTTTTGTGTGTATGGTACATCTTAAAACATTCGGTATTTGCCCAAGCAACACTCAGGATAGTACTTGGAATAAGTACGCTACCCAAGTGACACTTGGGGTAAACCTTTAAGTGGTTAACCTCCTTGAGCCTTGGTTTAATCCTCTTTATAGTAGAGATAATAAGCTGTTACATATTAGATTAAAATGATACAAGAAGTATGAAGGGCTTAACACCACTCATGATAATTGTTCAACACAGGTTAGCTTTTGTTATTGTGAGCAAAAGCTTGATAAATCACCAAGTAGATGATACTGCACTGTGATGAGGTTGGCCTTGGCTCTAAGGCAAACCAAGTCCTAAGTTACTGTTTGGCGCAGGGAGACATGAATGACACCGTGGTCTTGGTATGCTCCAGTCTTTAGAGGACTCGGCGCTCTAGGAAGCTTGTCAGAAATGCAGAATCTCAGGTCCCATATGAGTAGGTGATATAGAATTTGCATCTTGGCAAGATCCCCAGGTGGCTCCTGTACGGACTCAGGTTTGTGATGCACTGGTATAAACATGGAGAAAATGCAACGATCCTTTGGGCCATGGCATAGGAAAGGTTAATGTTTAGTTTGGCTCTGGCCAAGGCACCGGAAACAGAAGGTTCCTGAGATTGAAGCATATGAACTTATGGAACAGGAAGGCTCCCTTCCTGCCTGTGTCCTGGACAGCCAGGGGCTCTGTCCTGAGACCTTCATGGAGCCCCCCAACCCCCAGGCAGGCGAAGCTGAGAAGCAGGGTGGGACAAAGGGAGGCCTAGGTGCCTGGGCTCAGTTGACAGGGTGAAACTGGCGAAGTCCAGCCTTCTAGCCACAGCCTGCTGAGGGCCGAGGTAGAGTGGGGAGGCTGGAGAAGTACCACAGGGCAGTGAGCAGCACCCTCCGCAGGAGGCTGGTGGCCAGCACTAGGCAGCTGTGTGGAGGCCCTCGCATCTCTCTGGCACACCAAACCCTGTCCTCTGGCTCCCACTGCCCTGACTTCCGGTAGGTGGGAAGGGCTAGGCCCTGTCCCGTGAGCCATGACCATGTCCTGGCCTTTCTCCCCAGTACTGGAGCAGCTGCTCCCAGAGCTCACTGGGCTTCTCAGCCTCCTGGACAATGAGGACCTCAGTGACAGCACCCTGGAGAAGAAAATGGTAGTGGCCTCCATCCTGCAGAGCCTGCAGCCCCTCCCAGGTGAGCCCCAGAGAACCCCACTCAGAATCGGTGTCTCCCTTGACCCCTCCAGGATATGTCAGTGTCCGCAGAGCCTGGGAAGGCGGTGTCATTTAAGCCATGTACCTCGGCGAGCTCTGCACGGCCTGGCCCAGTGTCTTCACCTGCTCGGGCCCTGCTCCTCCACCACAGTCCCGGCCATGCTCTTTGTCCTCTTCCATCCCCAGCTCTCCACCTCTCTCCACGTGCAGAACACATGTACACTGCACACACTCACATGCATCCCCACACACAACAGCACACTCACACACGCCATAGGCTCACACACACGCGACCTGCAACCCACACTAACCTGCTGCACTTCACATAGCACGCGCCCACACCGGGCAGGCCCACAGCACACACACGTGCACTTCCTGCACGCAGGCCTCCCCACATCTTTGCCTGTGCCCCCTAGGCCCACAGTCCTGTCTGCCCAGCAGCACGCCCCCTCTTTTGCCCCATCCTTTCCTGGACACCGCAAGTCTGTCGACAGCTTAGCCTGTCGCAGTAAACCCTAAGAGCTGCACCTGTGTCCTGCGGTATTCAGGGCGTCTGAAGGGTATTAGTGGGAAGTCACCCCTGGGTGACCCTGCCTCTCAGTTCCCCAAAATAGAGCTGTTGCCCTCATGGGACCATTGGCAGAGTGAGAGGTGCCTTGGTTTTCCCACTGTACTCACCAGAGCCCCATCCCTTGTCAGCCCCTGAGCAGCCCAGTAATACTAGGCTTCTGGGCATCCCTTTGCAAGGAGACAGAGACCCTCAGTGTGGAAATGACAGCAAAGGGTGAAAAACAGAAGTAACGGGATATGAATGTGCTTTGCAAACAGTGCTGTGTCCCAGGGACACAGACCTGGTCCCTCCCCTCTTCATGCCAGTGTCTCCTCCTTCCTCCCAGCAAAGGAAGTCTCCTACCTGTACGTGAACACTGCAGACCTCCACTCCGGGCCCAGCTTCGTGGAGTCCCTCTTTGAAGAGTTTGGTAAGCAGCCGCTCCTGATCTCCGCCGTGAAGCCATCTGTCTCCGTGCGCACTGAAGTGCCCCTGGGTTGGCTGAGCCTGGCTCTAACACTGTGGCTTTAAGTCGCTTTGAGTTCTCTGGGCCCTGCCAGCTCTGAAAGAATAATCAGAATCTGCAGTTACAGGAAATCATCCCCAAGATTTGGGGAACAGTCGTGACAAATCTGGAAGCCAAAGAGAGCACCGCTCGGTAGTGATTATCTCACTGGCCATTGCCGGCCACAGCCATGGGTTGAGTAGTCCAGCAGCTCAGCGGAAATGAGAACTTTGACGGGGATGGGAGCGTAGCTGCCTGGGACTGGCAACAGCCTGGACAAGGTGTGGGAGGTCCTCACTGTCTGGGCTCTATCCTGCAGGAAGAGAGCACTGTTCGCTGTGGGGCCAGAGCTGCAGTCTGGGTGCTCCTGGGCACTTTGGGGACTGAAAGCCTCAAGGGAAACAGTGCCTTCATAACACGGCCCTCAAAAATCTCCAAAGCACCATACAAAATTACCATACTTGATCCTCCCAATAATCCTTGAAGACAGGTGAGTCAGGGCTTAGTGTGACCAAGTAGTCCCAGGTAGGTGGTTGATGAAGCTGCCTGCCCAGATTACCAGTGGAGGAGGTGTTCAGCACCCGGCCTCACATGCAGACCGGCAGAACCCAAGTCTGGCCCTCCTCGGTCAGCCTCTTTCACGCCCATCCTTGGCTGTCTCTGCCCTCCATAGACTGTGACCTGAGTGACCTCCAGGACATGCCAGAGGATGACGGGGAGCCCAGCAGGGGACGGAGCCCTGAACCAGCGAAGAGCCCCTCTCCAGGAAGTGTGAGTCAGGGTGGGCTCAGCTTAGGCCCTTGGCCCCTCACCCACCACCTCAGGGACCTTCCTGGCTTCACAGGACCCTGTCCCTCTCCCAGGTGTCATTAGGGGCAAGAGTAGCACCTTGTCTGCATTTCAGCTTGCAGCATCCTGCTTACTGTGTTCGTGCTGCGCAGGGGGCTGTGGTGAGCTAGTTTGTCCCATCAGGCCTGAAGGACAGCACCACCCCGACCTCAGGCTGCGTACGCAGGTGCTGGGAAAGACGCTGGGCCAGAGGTTGGACGGGCCCTGCCCTCCTTGTTCCTCTGCTGTCTGGCTTTGGGAAAATCACTCCCCTCCTCAGGGCCTGAGATTTTCACCTACAGAATGAGGGACTGGCCCTGATGTAGGATTCCCAACCTTGGAGTACAGAACTAGAGGCAGCTGCACAAGTGATCGTCAGTGGCCCCAAGCGTAGAGAACTCGTTGTGTCCTTCACACGCGCACAGCACCTGCCTGAGTGGGGCACGATTGTTATCCCCATTTCACAGATGAGGAGGCTGAGGTGCAGAAGGGAAGGTGAGATGCCCGATGCCCCACAACTAGTAAGAGAACCCAGCTGTAAAGCTGCAGTTCCCTTGGCCCCAAAGCCTCGCTCTTCACTGCTGGGTGATGCTGCCTACTAAGTAGTGTGCCTTAAGCTTTGTGGTCCTACTACCCCTCACATGCACATAGATGCGGGTTGGGTGTTGCTGAACTCATGGTAGTTTTTGATAATTCTGCATGTGCTCAGACAGAAGTCTGACTACCAAGTTTTTGCAGCCCACAAAACTTTCAGGCATTACAGAGGAGCCTTGGTGCTTAAAAGATTGGCCAAAAAAGCACAGGACAAATCTGCCCTCGGTTAAAAGTGAGTTTGACCTTCAGACACACCCCCTGCCTCCTAGGAGTCTCTGCCTCCCCTCTGCCATCCTCCTTTCCTCCTGCTGCGCCAGCTCTCCGGCCCTCTCAGTCTCATACTTTGGTCCCCTGCAGGCAGCCAACCCGCCTCCGCCGCTGCCCAACAAGCCGCCCCCGGAGGACTACTACGAGGAGGCCCTTCCTCTGGGACCTGGCAAGTCCCCTGAGTATATCAGCTCCCACAGTAAGTTCTGGGTCACACGCTCCTCCTCCCAGAAAAGCTAATTCAAGCTCCTCTGCAGCCTGCAGGGCCATGCCCGGCCCTTGCCCCAATGTTCCTACTTCCTGAGGAGGGGTCCCTGAGCTCCTGGCCTTTTCACTGCCAGGTGATGGACCACAAAGCATGGCCGAGTCCAGAAGCGTGGGTGCTGGTCTCAGGTCTGTGCGGCCTCTTCCCTTAAAACAAGAGGTGTGAGGCTCACTCAGAAGTGTGCATGCAGGCAGCGTGGCACCACGCACGGGACTGCCGCTCAGCCTGCTGCTGACTCCACGAGGTCACCTGTGTCAGCAGGATCACATCTGGGTGTTGTGTTGGCTTACTGAGTCAGCAGGTCAGGTAGGGCACCTGGTCTCAACCAGAGGTCCTGGGGCCAGTGGACCCGCCCCAGGGAGATGTCAGATAGTAAACAAATCCCTTTAAAGACTCTATGTGAATGATTTATGGAACTTATAATCAAATACTCGCAGAATACTTAACTATAGTTTATATGTGCGCATAATTTACACACAAATATAAAAATGCCGTGTACATATTTTTTGTCGGGGGGGGTGTGCCGAGGATTGAACTCGGGTCCTTGCGCTTGCAAGGCAGGCCACTGAATCGCTGAGCTAAATCCCCGGCCCACCGTGTACATATTTTTGTTGCTAGGTGGGCTCAGTAAGATTATTTAGAGGGCAGTGGGACAGATTACCTTTGAAAATTTCTTAGTATTGGCAACAGAGTCCTTGCTCTTCTGCCAGTTTCCCCTAGCGTAGTGACAGGTGTCTGCTCCTTTGAGGGTCAGCTGAAGCCACTTTCCTGAGTGTGAGGACTCAACATTACATGCAGAGCACTGGATTGTGGATCTTGGGTGACCCAGCACGCACAGCTGCATTTGTAAGGTAACGTTGGTGCGGGGCTTCCCTGTCACCCAGCAGCATAGCAGAATGTGCTCCAGCCAACACAGTGTAAGTGACATAGGCACATGCTGATCGGAAATGAATTCCAAGATACAGCCATTTAAAGAATCAAACACACAGTGCTGCATGTGACATGATTCTGTCTGTTGTTTTTAATATATTCACACATACTTGTACACTCATTTTAACAGTTTTTCTAGGATATGCAGGAAAGTATTGACAGAGGAAGGGAACAGAAATCTCAGTGCAGGGCTGGGGATGTAGCTCAGTAGTAGAGCACTTGCCGAGTGCATTTGAGGCGCTGGGCTCCATCCCCAGCGTGTCAGCAACAACAGGTGAGCCTGATGCATGACCTGAGAAATGTGCTCTTGGGTAAGCCGGTGTGGGTGCACATTGGACTCCCCGCTACTCAGGAAGCTAAGGCAGGAAGTGCTCCCGAGCCCCAGAGTTTGAGACTGACCTGACAACACAGCAAGGCCCCATCGCAGAGACGTCTGCGCGAAGGGAGTCCATTCCTCCACTCATACCCTTTGTACTGCTTGTGTTGTTTTGTTTTTTAACCACAGGCAAGTTCTTTTACTGGCCATTTTCACTACTTTAAAATGTCTGACAAGCAGCATTTCTTGCACTTAGTGTTGCACAACCGTCCCTACCATCTCATTCCCAGACGTTTCCATCACCCAGAAAGGGAGCCGTACCCTCATCCACCGCTTCTCCCCACTCGCTCAGCGCCACCCAGACTCTCTCAGCCACCACCAGTCTGCCTTCCGTCCACGTGGGTTCCCCTGTTCTGGACACTTCACGTAAATGGAGTCGTGTTATATGTGGCCTTTTGTTTGGCACAATGCTTATGGGGTCCATCCGTGCTGGAGCACAGTAGCTGAGCGTGCCCTGTGGGTGGACAGACCACACTGTACATCACCCATCGCCTGATGGACGTTTGCACTGTCTCCACCCTTGGGCTGTGGTGGGGATGGACCAGATGATCTCTGAGGCCTTGAGAGTCTCAAGTTCTGTGTCACTGCAAGCAGCAGCTGTTTCGTCCATGGGAGGCAGGGGAGGAAGGGAGGGATGAGGCTCTCTGGGCCCCAAGCCCAGGTCAGCCACTTGAGCTCCTTAAAGACCTGAGGACTCCTGCGCCTTCCCAGAGAGCTCACATCCCTCTCAGGCAGAGCCAAGAAGCACCCTCCTGGAAGCACTGGGGCAGGAGAGGGAGGACCTCAGGAAGGGCGGGGGCCTCAGGAGCGCACCCTTCCCCTTGCAGGGCCCGCCGGGCCAGGTGCTGGAGTACTTAGCCCTGTGTCCCCTCCCTCTGCCTCGTCACATCCCTTCTTCTCCACCCCGCACCTCTGGCCCCAGCACCCCCAGCCCCTCTCACAGGGTGGGTGGCCCACATGTGAGCCTTCAGAGCGCCCGCTGGCAAAGGCAGGCTCTGAGTCTCACGGGAGAGATAGGATTGAGTGTCCCAGTCACTGGGAACCTCAGTGTCGCAGTCTTCAGGAAACAGATGGACAGGAGGGGCTTGGGAGCCAGGAGAGAGCTGTGAGCAGCAGCCTGATGAGTTGGACTGGGGGAAGGAAGGCTTCCCGGAGAGGGCCCTGCACGCCCACCCCCTGTGCTGGCAGCTGCATTTCTGACCCAGGCTCCGTCACTAGCAGGCTGTGTGGGACTTGTTTTCTCATCTGTAAAATGGGCTGCATCCAACTGCCCAGCTTGTAGGACTCTAAGGAGCCGATGATAACAACAGCTGGCATTTGCCGTGTGCATTCTCTGCGCTGGGCACAGGGGCACTGAATCACTAGCCCCAGGGGAACGTTCGCTTCACGGTACAGTCACATAGCAGATAGTAGAGAAGGCCTCGAACTTCACTCCCACGTCACGTGTCCTTCAGCAGCCACACCTCCTGCTGTGCTTCGGGGACTGTCTGCACCTAATAACCTTGTGCATGCTCAGAAATAATTTTTAATGAAATCTGTTCCAGTTCATTAGCGTTCCGTATATTCTTCACTTTTATGTATGTTTAGAATTCTCCTACCAATAGTTTTTTCCAAACCAGATCCCTGAGCCCAGCTCACTCCAGTGCATCCAATGCCTGTGGATGCAGCCCAGGGATCTGCGTTCCAGGGCAACCCCCGGGCAAATCAGATACAGAACACAGTTTGAGGTGCCTGCTGCCCCCTGCATGGTGCCCCTAGGCCTCCCAGCCCCAGTGAGTTCTGCACAGAAGTCCGTCCTGTGTTATTATCTAGTCCAGTTGCCCTTTTTTTTTTTTTTTTTTTTTTTTTTTTTTTTTTTATTGGTACATTTTAGGTACACAGTACAGTTACATTCATTATTGGGATCTTGTACCTTCACATGACAGGTCTTGGTTCTCATTTTTCCCCCTTGCCCCTGCCCTCGCTTCACCCCCTCTTCCCCTCCCCATTTACAAACACTTTATTTCCATTTTTTCATTTTCTCATATTTTTCCCCTTATTACCTTTCCCCTACCCTTCCCACTTTCCCTACACCTTTAGCCCTTTTCTTCCCATTTCACAATGTCAGTTATCTCATTAGAATTTTTTGTACTATTACAGTTTATTCACACCAGAGAAACTATTCAGTATTTACACATGTGTGACTTATTTATTTCAGGAGTATATGTATCCATTTTCCTATGAATGAGTCTAATTTCTCATTCTTTATGGCTGAGTAGTATTCCATTTTATAGAAAAACCACATCTTCTTTATCCAGTCTCCAACTGATGGGCAAATGGGCTGTTTCCAAGTTTTAGCTATTACAAACTGTACCGCTATAAACATGGGTGTGCATATATCACTCTGGTACGATTCTTTTAATTCTTTTGGAAAGATACCCAGAAGAGGGATGGCTGGGTCAAATGGAACCTCTAGTCCCAGCTCTTTAAGGTATCTTCTCCAGAAAGAATCAACAGCTGAGATCTCATCTTATTAAAAAGCTTCTGCACTGCAAAAGAAACCATCAACAGAACTAAGAGACAACCTACAATGTGGGAAAAAAATTTTACCAGCTACTCCTCAGACAAAGGACTCTTATCTAGAATATATAAACTCAAAACAGTCAGCCCCCCCAAATATAAAGACTCTATTCAAAAATGGCCATCTGAAATGAACAGACATTTCTCAGACAAAGAAGTAGAAATAGCAAATAAACATATGAAAAAAAAATGTTCCACATCACAGGTCATTCAAGAGATGCAGATGAAAACAACACTGAGATTCCATCTCACCCCACAAAGAATGGCTGCTATCAAGAAATCACACAATAACAAATGTTGGCGGGGTTGTGGGGAGAAAGGAACCCTTCACTGTTGGTGGCAGTGCAGACTGGTGCAACCACTGTGAAAATCAATATGGAGATACCTCCAGTTGCCCTTTGTAGCCCCAAAGCTTTGGAAGGAAGTTTGCCGTACGAGTTGGGGTAGCGCACATACTGGGAGAAGATGAGGTGAGTAGGCAGGAGGAGTTCTGAGTCCACACAGTCTAAAGTGCAGGGCTTAGAGCCATGACCAGAACACACACCAAGGAGTCTCTACCCACTCACCACTGTGCAGGATCAGAGGAAAGCAACTTGAGCTGGGTCTTGATGGATGAGTAGGAGCTCTCTGGTAGGAGATGAGAGAGCACAGGAAACAGCATGATCACAGGCCTGGAGATGTAACAGGGCCCAGCAAGGCAGTTGGTGCCAGGGACACAGAAGGCAGGTGGAGAACTCGAGCAGACTAGATACAGAGTCCCCACACCCAGGTGGGGGCTGCCCTGAGCTCCCCATCTCTTCCCCGAGAAGGGGCATGGTATCTGTGGCCTTCCCAGCCCTGCCCTAAGGGTAGGTCTCTATTTCTGCAACTCTGCTCTTTCTGACCACTCCGCAGATGGCAGCAGCCCAGCCCATTCGATTGTGGACGGCTACTATGAGGACGCAGACAGCAGCTACCCTACCACCAGGATGAACGGCGAGCTGAAACACTCCTGTAAGTGCTGATGCTCACACACCTTCTCTCCTTGGGGAGGGCGGCCTCAGACTGCCTGCACCCCAAAGCCCGTGTTCAGTGGGTTCAGTGGAAAGACCCTTGGAATGGGAGTCAGGACCTCAAATCTCTTGCCCTTGGCCTCCCTGATTTGTGGTAACTGACTTAAGAGGAGCCCAGTTTCCCTGTCTATAATGGGGGGTTGCTGTGAGGATCCAAGACAGTACCCGTCCAGGGAATGGCATAATGGTGGGCATTTATTGTATTGACCACTTACCAGGGCCAGACATTCGGCTAAACATCCTCGGTGGTGTGAGATTCAGGTAGCCAGAGGAAATGTAGGTACTACTGTTTATTGTGATCACTTAACTAATGAGGAAACTGGAGGTCTAAAGGAAAGTCACTGAGACCACAAAGGTGCCGAGTCTAACCTGTAGTGCCCTCATGAGGGTGTTTCAATGGTCATTCCCAATACCACGCCTCGTGCCCCTCAGCGGTCTCAAGGCCACCGAGCAGGGCTGCCTCAGAGAGGCAAGGACGGTTTTCCATGGCCGTCCTTCCCCATGGCGCCTGCAGACAATGACTCTGACGCGATGAGCAGCTCCTACGAGTCCTACGATGAGGAGGAGGAAGACGGCAAGGGCCCACAGCCCAGGCACCAGTGGCCCTCGGAGGAGGCCTCTATGCACCTGGTGAAGGACTGCAGGATATGTGCCTTCCTGCTGCGGAAAAAGCGCTTTGGGCAGTGGGCCAAGCAGCTGACGGTCATCAAGGAGGACCAGCTGCTGGTGAGTGGCCTCGCGTGGACCTGCCATGGGTACGTCCCGAGCCTGCGGATGCGTCCACCTCAGCCTGCTCTGCCTGGCCTGGCTGTGTGCTCAGAATCTCAAAGTCCAGCGCTTCCTAGAGTAGGGTCCTTCCACTCCAGTAGAATTCACACACGCACACGCGCACAGGACTCGTCACCTGAGGCGGGGTTACCGAGACTGTTGTGGTTGGTTGGTTGGTTTGTATTTTTGGTACCGGGGATCGAACTCGGGACCTTGAGCTTGCCAGCGGAACCACTGAGCTAAATCCCAGGCCTATGGTTGGTTTGGTTTTTTCTAGAGAATTTTTTATCGCTTTAAAACAATGTTTGTTGGCATTGCCTCCTTGGCACAGCAGGCAGCGCCTCAGTCTCATGAAACAATATTTGTTATTTTTCATAATGCAAAGTAACGTACTGATTTATAAGACTAGAGAAAAAAAAATGAAAAGTGATTTTTAAAAACACCCATGACCCCATTGGCTGGAGGGTGAGTACTGTGAAGTTTGTGCGCCTCTTCCCACCCTCCTTTCCTTACACCTGAGCCCTGCGGCGCTCATTCGTGCTTCATAGCTTGCTTGTTGTAAAGTCATGTCTTTAATTCACCGCCTCACAGCACTGTCCTTTCCTAAAATAAAATACACCCTAGAGGTGCAAAGTAGGAGAATAAATGTAGTATCCAAAAAATAATGGTTCTCACCTCCCCTCCAAAATGTTGTCAAGCCCTCCTTGCACAACATACGTGCATTTGAGACAAGCTGTCTGTCCCAGCTGGGGCAGGGAGGGCACCAGTCCCAGGGTCCCGGCTCACCGTTCTACTCCTTGTGTCTTTTCTGTTGTCCTTTACTCACCACAGTAGTATGAGCTCAGGGCCAGCAGAGCGGTGACACTCGGAGGGAAAAGCTTCAGTACCCCCACATCTGTAAGCCCAGCCTGGGAAGCTGAGGCAAAAGGATCAAAAGTTTGAGCCCATCCAGGCAATTTAGCAACTTAGTGAGACCCTGGCTCAAAATTTAAAAACAGAAAGAAGAGCCAGGCGTGGTGGCACACGCCTGTAATCCCAGCACTCGGGAGGCTGAGGCCGGAGGATCGCTGTGAGTTCAAGGCCAGCCTGGGCTACATAGTGAGTTCCAGGTCAGTCTCAACTACATAGTGAGACCCTGTCTCAAAACAACAACAACAACAACAACAACAAAAAACAAAACAAACAAAAAAAAACGAAGAAAATGACAATAGACATTTCTCGTTAAGGCCAATAGTTACCGTGAGTTGTTTATAGACATTTCTTTAGGAAGATTCTTTCCCTTGTTCTTATTTGGCTAAGAGTTTGTATCACCCATAGGTGCTGAATTTTATCAAATACTTTGTCCTGCCTCCATTGAACTGTATAAGTTTTCTCCTTTTTCACGTTAATGTGACAAATTATGTTTTTTTTTATTTTAAACCACCCTTGTTGCTAGACAAAGACCCACTTCATCTTGACGTAGTATGCTTTTTCTATGTGTCTGGATTCCATTTGCCAGTAGTTTGTTTAGGACTTTTGCAGTTATGAGAAAAATGAGCCTGTAATTTCCCTTTCTTGTACTGTCATTGTCATGCTGCAGTATCAAGATAACTCTACTCTCCTGAGGAGAGAGAAGTGAGGCAGATTATTGACACAGTGCTGGCTCCCAAGGCAAGCTCTCTACCCCTGCGAGAATTCCCCCTCAAATCCCACCTGGCAGCCTTTGCACCTGGCTTCCTCCTTCCCAGGCAGCACATTTGGTCCTCCAGTTCTCTGGCCTGAATGTTCTTGATATTGTGCTGCTGTCTGCCTCTTCCTCATAGGCAGCTCTGCCTAAAGATTCCCTGAGTAAGATGTCTCATCTTGGGCTTCTTGGGGCCCTCACACAGTGCCCACGTAGGACCGGTAGGGAGGTCTTGGTGGGGTAGGTCAAGTTCCCCCGAGCTTTGGTGGGCGGTGTCTCCCTCCTCTACCCTCACTCCAGAAGGCCCTGATCCCCTCTCTCCCTGTCCAGTGTTACAAAAGCTCCAAGGACCAGCAGCCACATCTGAGGCTGGCGCTGGATATCTGCAGTGTTGTCTATGTGCCCAAGGACAGCAGACATAAGAGGCACGAGCTGCGCTTCTCCCAGGGGGCCACTGAGGTCTTGGTGCTGGCCCTGCAGAGCCGGGAGCAGGCTGAAGAGTGGCTTAAGGTACGTGGGACCTGTATGTAGGGTCTGGCTTCTGGGCCTCCCTTCCTTCCTCTCACCCCCACACCCCCGCAGAGGCCAGTCCTGTCCTGGGAAGAACCAAGCCTCGCTCAGGAGAGATGGGATCAGTGCCTGAGTTCAAGTGTGGAACGGGCCTTGGAGGCCTTGGATGCCCACGAGAGACAGACCTCCTGCTGGAGGCCTATGTCCCTTCTAGTTACCTGAGTCCCCTTTCTGGTGATGGGACCTTGCGCTTGCGAGGCAGGTGGCGGCACCACTGAGCTAAATCCCCAGCCCTTGAGTCCTCTTCCTAACGCCCCTCTACAGGCTAGTCCAGCCTGCCTTTCTTCACTTCCTAGAAGGGGGAGCTCCGTGTCTATAAAGGAGGCTGAGTACAAGTTAGTCCTTTAAAAAAGGGAAAAATCCTCTCTTGTTACAACTTTGTAACTGGTACCTGTGGTCCAGCTCATGCACCTTCATGACCCCACAGGACAGGGACAGTTCCCATGTACCAAGCACTTACAGTGGTACTCCAGTTCACAGACTTGATGCTTTCCATGATTCTGATGGCAAACTGAGTTGGACCAGAACCAAATCACATGCATTGGTTAGGTTCAGTGTTTTCCCTATGGGGAAATTTGATTCCGTTCTCATCCAGTTCAGTTTGCAACCAGAATCGTGGAGAAAATTGAGTTGGTGATCGGAGGTACCACTGTGTTTTGTGCCATGTATTGTGCTGAGACCTTTGCTTACTGTGACTTCATTTACCCTTCACAATGGAGCTATTATTGTTTCCATTTTACTGAAGATGAAGCTGAGTCCTGGAGAACCAATGTGACCTGCCAAAAGTCAGGCAGCCAAGTGGTCCGGGCCAGGATATGAAGCTAAGAAGTAACTCTATTCCCAGGGCATAGACGTGGTGCCACAGTGATGACAAGGGAAGACGTTAGTGGCACAAAGACGTGGGTTCAAGTCCCAGGCCTAAGCAGCCTTCACTGGCTGTGTGTTCTGCAAATAACTTCGCTTCTTCATCCCTCCCCTTCCTTGTCATAAGTGGTTGTAAGAATTCTAGTGGGCACCGTGCCAAGTGTCCAATAACTGTCCGTGATTCCTGATGCGGCTGGTGATGCCCCCTCCCCAACCTTTTCCAGCAGACCCTCTGTCCCTGCACCCATCTCTGCTCCACCCGGCTACCTCTCTGTCTCCTCTGATCTTCCTGCTGGAACAATGAAACCAAGCACCTCCCTCTCTCCCTTCCTTCCTGCGATAGCCTGCTCTCCCGTGGACATCTGGTGTTTCTCATTACTGCATTGTCTCAGGAGGGGAAGGAAGAGAGAACCTGCCTGCTGGGGGAGCCTCTGCCTCCAGGCACTAATAGGTCCGAAGCAGGAGCCCTAGGCCGGGAGTTAAGAGGCCTGCTCACATCCAGTGCAGGGGTGCTGTAAGCCCAGGGGATTAGAGCGGGCAGCCCCACCGCTTGCATTTGGTTTCCTACCCTGCTGCCATCTGACAGGTAGCTTTACCTCTCCCAGCCTCGTCATCTTAAGTGTAACTTGGGAATCACAGGCTGCTGTGGGTGAGCATCAGATGGTGACTGCCGTTTTTTGTTTGTTTGTTTGTTTGTGGTCTTCATGGCTGTAACCTTTGGGTTTCAGCTTCCATGTCATTGAAAGGGAGACCGTGGCCCCAGGTTGCCCCATGCATGGTCACAGAAGCCAGCCCCCCACCTTAGGAGGTTTTCTGGTTTACATCGCCCTCCTTATCCACGATCTCGCTGTCCTTAGACTACGCCAGCAGAGGACCAGCACTCTTAAATTACAGATGTGGAAATTGTGGCCACTCTAGGTAGTGGCTTTCCCAATACCACACAGCTAATCAGCAGTGCATCTAGGTCTAGAAACTAAGCTTCTCAGTCCCTAGCCCCTGTGTCTTTCAATCCAAGGAGCAGATAGAAGAGAAAGCCTCTTCAGGCCCCAAGGTTCCCCAGACTGGTTCAGAAGGCATCAGCCAGTCTCAGGCTCCCAGTAACCCCAGTTTCTCTGCACAGCAGCCCTGGTCACACAAACCTCAGGGATCTTTTGCCCCCAGAGCCTCCATGCCCACCTCTTCCTAGCTGTGTGTCCTCTCCACAGATCATCCGTGAGGTCAGCAAGCCCATCTCGGGAGTGGACGGAGTGGAGGCCCCCAGGTCCCCAGTCCTCCTGTGCAAGCTGGACTTGGACAAGGTACATCTGTCTCCATCAGTCTCCTCCCAGGCAGGCCGTGGGCACTTGGCACAGACCCTGTGCTGGGGAAGCATTGGGCTGGTGGTAAAGCCAGGTCTCACCATGATGTCCTGTGAACTCAGAGCAGGCGCTCAATAATTGCCTGCCGCACTCAAGAATGCATGAATATGGATGTTCAGGATGCAGCACCAGGCAGAAAAGGAGTGGCTTACCTGCCAGGACAGGCGAAGTCCTGCGATGTGAAATCTAAGTTGAAATTCATCCATCAGCAAAGGAAAATGCCATCTTGGAGCGTGAGTGAGGCAGGCACTGGCCAGTTGGTCAGCCCCTGGGCAGACACATACCGGTGCCTACAAGTTGCCAGTGCCATGAGGGACAAAGGGACTCAGACCTACGATCGTTCCTTTGACATGATGCAGGGCCATACACAGTGTAATGCAGCCTGGCATTTACAGACCATTACTGTGCGCCTGGCACCGTTCCAAATGCTTCACACGTGTGAACTCACTTAGTTTCTGTAGCCACTCCTACTGCGGGTGCATTTTCAGGTGTGACAGCTGCAGCAGAGAGAGGTCCCATGGAGCTAGGGTTTAAACCCAAACAGCCTGGCACCTGAGGCCTCTGCCTGTCAGTGGAGAACGCTGAGTGTCCACTGGACAATTACTTAGTCAGGATCTGCCTGCTCCAGGCACAGCACAGGCCCTGGGAAATAATCCCAACAGAAACAGGCACATGCTGCACTCACAGCCCCTGTATCCCAGCGGGCGGCAGCTGTGAGTCAGGTTCTGTAATCACACTGACTTCCGAACTGGCTCAGTGCTAGGAAGGCAAAGTACCAGGTTTCCTCGGAGTATGTACCAGGGTCCTGATCCTGTAGAGATACAGGAGCATTCCCCGTGGAAGTAACTTAAAATGAGGATGGAAATTAGCAAGAGAGAGGAGAAAAAAATCACTTAAAGCAGAGGAAACTGGCACTGGAGCAAAAGAAAGCATAGATGTGAGAGTGCCCGGTGTGGCTAGCTGGAGAGAAGAGGAAGCTGGTTAGCGGGCGTGTGGACGTCAACCGCAAAGGTGGCAAGAGCTCAGGCGGGGCTGGGGGCGGGGTTGGGGATGTGGGTCTCAGTTTGCGGGAATCGTGGGTTGAAATGTCGTTATTCCCGAGTTAGTCCCCAGACGTTCACGGCGATCCTTTGTATTTGCTTTCTGTCGTGGTGAAAAGCTTGCCATCTGCACGCCATTGCAGAATGAGCAGAACTGTAACTTCTGCGTCGTAATTCACAGACGATTCTGTTATAGGTCTGGTGGTCCTGGCCCATCTGTGACAGTTACCATTTTTCCAGCCCTGTGGAAATTGTGGGCAGCACATGACCTCTGCTGTCATGTCCTCTCCTTGTCCCCAGTCCTAAGATAATCACATAGCAGCCCTGGTCTGGGGGGCCTTGGCAGATCAGGCTTAGGGGCTCAGCTCTGTAATTCTGCCCTAAGTGAGGGGATTTCATTTTAGTTCAGGCTTGTGTCTGGCCGGCATAGTGTAGCTTCCTGAAGCAAGAGGACAGCACACCACACAGGTGTGCGAAATGACACAGTCTGTTGGCCTCGTAATTTTACCTGGCCAGCTGTCTGGTACTTCACAGCAGCCTTTTGAAGTGGGTGTCATGCAGGTAAGAAAACCAAGCCTCAGGAAGATGGGAGGCTTTTGCCACACTTCCACAGCTAATCCGGGTAGCTGTCGTAATGTCTTCCAAGGTCAGTCTGACTACTACGCTCGCTGTACCTCCCGTGCTACCTGGGTCAGCCTTGAACTTGTCTGAATGAACAAATGGTCGAGAATTGTTGTAATGAGTAGAAATAGTGTTGGCTGGCAACAAAGTGTGTGTGTGTGTGTGTGTGTCTTTACCATCTTCGTATCTGAGCTGAGATCATAGGAGGCCCCTGTTGGTCACCAGGTCCTAATCATGAGTACCCCGAAAATGTCTGCTAGCTCACCGGTCTTTCTTCATCTTCATCTTCACCGTCATCCTGGTCCCTCCCTCTCCAGAGTCTCAGCTTGGCTAGCATGACACTCTCTCCAGTGGCTTTTTTAAAAGTGTCCGGTTTTGTACCCTCTAATCCATCCCTGCAACACCACTGGGTTACATTGGCATCCCACTTAAATGCCCTCCCAGCTCCCTGTCACCTGCCAAATAGAGTGCAAACTCCTAAGGTGTTGCTCTCAGTGTGTTCAAATTAATTGCCTCACTCTGTTGACTGCAATGTGGAGATGCAACCGTGCCTAAGTCATTGTGGTCCTCTGATACCTGATGCCACGTCAGGCACGTGGTAATTGCTGACCGTGTTTGTTAACTAATTCTCACGTGTTTGAGGACTCGGGGAAAGACTGAACTAATAAAGGATGCTTGTGAGTGCTCCTCTTGATGTGAGGCTGCGTCCCTCCCTAGAAGCTGTCCCAAGAGAAGCAGACCTCAGACTCTGACAGCCTAGGTATGGGCGACAACGGTTCCAGCCTCAGCCGCAGAGAAGCCTGCGAACAAGGTAAGCGCCTTGGCGGGGTCAGTCTGGGGAATGCCTGGCTGGGAGGGACTGGCCCTAGCCCCGGGCACGTGGTGGGTAGGGCTGCCTGGCCTGTCTTACGTGGAAGCACAGGCCAGTCCCTGTGTGCATAAGGAAGGGCTGCAGGGAAGGCCAGGGGTAGGTGGAGCTGGGACACGGGGCCCCTTCCCTCCCCTGACCCATCTCTTTGGCCACAGGCAGAGGGAAAAAGAGCAGCTTGGCAGAGCTAAAGGGCTCCATGAGCCGGGCCGCAGGCCGCAAGATCACCCGAATCATCAGCTTCTCCAAGAAAAAGGCCCTGGCTGAGGACCTGCAGATGTCCTCCGCTGAGGAGGGGGTACCATGCTGTGGTGGGTACGGGGCCCGGGGCCTTGTGGGTACGGGCTCCTGGAGCTAAAGCCAGGAGGTCCTCAGTGCCTCACCCGCCCATCCCCTCGGGCAGGTGAGGAAAGCCAGCCCCAGAATGGCGAAAGCCCACTCTGACACCATCCGCGCCCTGCATCACTTCATTCCTGTGAGGCCCTGGTGCTCAGCAAAAGGAAAAGCCACCTGATCCCCATGCGCCTCTGCTCTCTGTGACCTTAGCCCAAATCTCTTTACCTCAGTTTCTCAGCCTGCTCCTCTATAATGAGGGGAGAGTGACTGACTTCATCGAATAGAATATGCCGGGCACATAAGCTCCAGTCTGTCTTACAAGGAATTTTGGACAAAGCACTTTTCAGTATAAATGCATTCAGCGTAGTGAAAAGTGTTTTGGAAAAGAAAGCATTATTTTTTTCATGTAAAGGCAGTGTAGCATGGACTGCAACCCAGGACAAAAGTCATCTATTTTTAGGGGTTCAGGGTGTAGCTAAGTGGTAGAGTGCTTGGCTAACGGGTAAGGCCTTGGGTTCAATCGCAGCACCACAAAAATAAATATTACTATACCTATTAAATACACATTAATATTTTGCTAGCCGTAGAAAAGCACATGACTATGAAAATATTTTGTAATCAGTAGATCAAGGCACGCTGGGTTTTTTTAAGTTTAACTCTTTGTGTATGTGTGTGTATACCGAGCATCAAACTCGGGTTCTTGCACTTGGGAGGCAGGTGGCAGCACCACTGAGCTAAATCCCTGACCCTAGTTTAACTCCATTTTAAGAGGAAATGAGGGAATTCTAACTCCATCTATGGTCAGCTATGAGACTGCCTGTGCCTTGGCTGGTTTTCTCCCTTCTTTACCTTGGCTGGATGCTTTTGTTCCCACATGCTGCCACTAGGTGTCAGCACCATCCATCATTGAGCAGTAATTGAGGGTGGGAACCACTGTGTCTTCTACACATTTTATACAGCAGCTCCTCCCCTTCATCATCTTGGTGCGGCCCCGAAGCTGGTCAGTGATGTATGAGCGGGGTTACCAGTGTCCTCGCCAGAGAAAAGGTCGCCTAAGGTCACAGCCTGGAGAGTGAGCTGACCTGAGACCCAGAGGCCACCTGTCCAGCTAGAGAGCAAGGGCTGTCCCCGTGCTTGGTCCTGGCCTGCGACCCCACTGGGTCTGTCCAGGGTGGGCTGCGGGAGTGATGCTGCCCTGTCCCCTTAGGCTACCTGAACGTGCTGGTGAACCAGGGCTGGAAAGAGCGCTGGTGCCGCCTCAAGTGTGGCACTCTGTACTTCCACAAGGACCGCGCCGACCTGCACACCCACATGAATGCCATCGCCCTCCAAGGCTGCGAGGTGGCCCCTGGCTTTGGGCCCAGGCACCCGTTTGCCTTCAGGATCCTGCGCAACCGGCAGGAAGTGGCCATTCTGGAGGTGAGAGGAGACGGTCCAGGTGGTCCTGGCTGGTGAGACCCTGGCCCAAGTATGGAGTGAGGGGGGCTTTTCCACTAACTGCAGGGAGCAAGGTGAGGGACCCCCAGGCTCGCCAGGGAACACTTAGATTCAAGTTCCCCATAAACAGTGAATCCTGTTTTGAATACAAGTATCTCCCATGTGGTTTTTGTGACATCCTAGACTAAAAAAAATTTTTTTTCGTTTATCTGAAATTCAGGTTTAGCAGAGCATTCTGTATTTTTATTCTTTTGATTCTGGCTGCCCTAGAACAGGTTTGTTTATTCTCCCTGACCTTAAGTCCTAAGTCTGAAAGGTCTCTCACCTGGGCTCCTCCCGTCTGACTCTGGAACCCTCTCTGCCGTCTTCTGAGCAGGAGCTGACCACCTCATATAAACCACTGCCTCCATGGGGCCACTTGCATTTCTAGAAGGACTTTCCCCGTAGTGAGTTGAATCTTAAGCACCATGAAGGCAATCACCGAGCCTGTTCTGTACACTTTTATTTTTCTGCACCCCTGCACGATGGCTAGGACATACGACAAGCTCAGTAAACATTTGCTGGATAAATGAACTGTGCATTCATTTCACTCGCTCACTTCCTGCGCACTGGCACACGTCCTCTGAGATCACACAGAACACATTCAGTATGTCTTCACGTGGCAGTCGTGGGTATTTAGAATTGAAAATGTTGATCCTGAGTGGGGACTTAAGTAGCACCCTTCTCACAGCACAAATAAACTGGGGCCAGGGCAATCAATGCTGTCTTTGTCCAGGGCTCCACAGGGGCTCTATGGCTTCTTGATTTTTGTTCTGGAACTAAAACCTGACTTCTTGTCTTTTTCTTTGTTTTTGTGGTACTGGGGATTGATCCTGTGGCCTTGCCTCACATGTACATCCCCAGCCTTTTTCAAATTTTGCTCTGAGACAAGATCTTGTTAAATTGCCCACGATGCCTTTAAACTTGAGATCCTCCTGCCACAGCCTCTTTAGTAGCTGGGATTACAAACCTGTGTCACTGCTCCTGGCTCAGCCTCTTGGTCCCACTCTCTTTGCCTCATACCCATTCTTTTCTTGGTTCTTAGTTCTCAAGAATATTGCCTCTGTAACTTACTTTCATTTTTTGTAGTCTCAGAAAGATCTCGTATTTACTTTAACTCTTACAAAGCGCTTTCTAGTAAACACCGTGCTTCCTTCCTTCAGATTTATCATTTGTGAGCTAAGTGCATGTAGTCATAAGGCTTTTTAAATGTGAATTAAGTGTGTGTTTAGTTGACCAACAACTTTTTGGAGATTCCCCTATATACAGTATTATAATTATTTCACCATTATAACGCAAGAAAAATTGATTGAGTTATATAAGCAGTGGTTCCTCTGATTTAAAAAAAAATAGCTCTCAAGAGTTGTGGATTTAGCTCAGTGGCACCGTGCCTGCCTTGCAAGTTCAAGGTCATGAGTTCAATCCCTGGTACCAAAACAAATGGCTGTCAGAAATGTCAGGGTATGCCTAAATGTTTTCTACGTCCGCTTCCTGAGGGTGGTGAGAGGGTGTGCTGTCATCAGAAGGCCGTCAGGTAGGGCCTCTCAGAGGAGGGAGCTATTGAGCACACACTCGAAGGAAGGAGGGCGCCTCATGTTCCTGGGCACATAAAAGGCGCTCTTGAGTATTGGTGGCTTGGCTAAGGTGAGCAGGTAGGCAGAAGCCCTCACAGTGTGTGCATGAGCTTCGCTGTTCTGCTCTCCCCCAGGCGAGCTGCTCAGAGGACATGGGTCGCTGGCTTGGGCTGCTGCTGGTGGAAATGGGCTCCAGAGTCACCCCAGAGGCGCTGCACTATGACTACGTGGACGTGGAGACCTTAACCAGCATCGTGACTGCCGGGCGCAACTCGTTCCTGTAAGGGTCAGCCCTGAAGCCTACACCTGCCACGGCCTTCCTGTCTCTCCTCCGTCTCAGAGGCTCTGCGCCTGGCTGTAGGCACCAGAAGGAAGGGGAGGAGGAGTTCAGGAAGACTCTGATCCTTGGGAAGCTAGGATGGTACCTTCTCAGCGTGGGGAAGGGAGCTGGCTGAAGGAGGAAGCCTGTCGAGGCAACCTGGGGATGAAGCAAGCCAGTGAGGAAGCCCTGCAGTTGCTGCCTTGGCTCTCTGCTGTGCTGTGGAAGCTTAAAATGCTAACAGCCTTGAACATCTGGATGGCATTGGCAGGAGTTCAGCACCATCCCCACCAGCTCTGGGATCAGGGCTAATTGCCTGTCACTTTGAGCCCTGTATTTTCTGGATTACAGAGTGTTGGTGGTGACCGATGCCCCGTGCCTGCCTTCGGGGTGGCCGTGAGAATCAAGTGGGTCATGCCTGTGAAACCCTTACACAGTATGAATCTTCCATTCTACACTAGATCAGCTGCCAGAATCCTGAGAGGGGACAGGAGAGCAGAGTGTACAGCGTCGTCATCACAGTGCCTTTCCTTTTACAGATTCGCAAGGTCCTGCCAGGATCAGTGGCCTGAGCCCCGTGTCTATGACGATGTCCCTTACGAAAAGATGCAGGTACGGTCCCTTGGATCTGCATGGCAGTGTCACAAAGGCCACGTCTTCCCTGCTTCCCCTTCATGCCTTTTCTGAACTTTGTTCCCAAGAAACCAGTTTTAACCAACAGCTACAGGGAGAGTCCCTTCTTCCCATAGTTCGGGGCTCAGGATGAGGAATCGCTGGGGCAGGGCATGGGGTGGTACGGGTGACAGAGCTCCAGGTTGTGGGGGAGAAGGGGCTCTGCAGACTGCTAAACACTGCAGAGAGGTGAAGCAGCGTGTCCAGCCTGAGCGAAGGGCTGGGCTCTCTGCTGTTTGCCCCGTGAACTTAGGCTGCTGGTCCCACAGTGTTTGGGGTGGATATTGACAAGGTGGCCTTCATTTGTTGGCATTCACAGTCCAGACATCTGCTCCCTGCTTTGCTTACTGAACTGAGGCAATGCCAGTTCATTAATGTACAGCAAGTCCTCCCTGTACCTGGCCATCCTGTACGCTGCCCAGAATGCTCATGGCCGCGTGCCCTATGCCTTTTCCTCCTCAGGGAGCCACAGGAAAATCACATTCTGACTGGACACAGGCAGGTGGGGGAGGCCTCACAGCTAGGCCGGAGAAGGACTTGCGGTGCCAAGGACACCAGCACGTCTGCAGGCAGGCCCTGCTATGGACATGACTGGATGATGCCCTCTGCTCTCACCTCCAGGCTCCCTTTTCTAGAAACTTCTCTAGCCATCCTCTGTCATCCTTCTGCTCACATGGTTTTCTTCTACTCAGGTGACCCAGTGGATGCTGCTAGAGGTTTCGCCTAACGCTTGTAGCATAGCTAGTAACCAGGCAGCGTAGTGCTTAAGAGTAAGCAGATGGGAATCAGACCTCGGCTGAGGCTAAGTGGCCTCAGGTTTGCTTTTCTGGTCCTCACTCGTGCATGAAAAGCCCGTCTTCCAGGGTCACTACAAGAACTAAGTGAAAAACTTTACGCAAAAAAATGTTGGGCACAGTGCCTACCCATTGGGACATTTACTACTGAGTAATAAATAATACTGTTATCAGTACGATTATTGTATAACAGTATGATCTAATCCCTTTAGGATTTCCTGAGTCTTACTGGATTTTGAGTCTCCATAAAACTCTTATGTACTCAAATATATAGGCAGGCTAGTGAATTCTGGTGGGTTTTTTTGTTGTGTTTGGTTTTCAGTACCAGGGATCGAACTCTGGACCTTGTGCTTGCGAGGCAGACATAGTGCCACTGAGATAAACCCCCAGCCTGTGAATTATGTATTTTATTACCATAGTTATATATGTTACCATTATTATATATTACCATTGACATTATTATATATTACCATTCTTTTTGGAGGAAGACTGTATTAGCAATTCAGAAAATTAGGGCCAGAGATTTAGCTCAGTGGCACCAGCACCTGCCTGGCAAGTGCAAGGTCCTGAGTTCGATACCCAGTTCCAAAAAAAAAAAAACCCCAGAAAATTAGAAGAATGTTTCCAAACTCTGTGAAGCCAGAAATACCCAGGGTAAATCAAATACAATCACCCCCTGTCTTTGGAGACTTCCTAGTTCTCTTCTCAGCAGGTCCTCTAGTTTAGAGTTGCCGTCCACTGCCTCCCTCAGAAAGGTATGAGACTCAGATGACCTCCTGCTAGTGACAGTGGTTCATAAACTGCACAGTGCTGCACAAGTCTTAAAGTGCAAGGCCAAGAGCTCAGAAACCTGCCAGTACCCAAGGAGAGAGCCGTCTCTGCACTGGAGTCAGCCTGCCGGCCCTTAACCCTCTTCCTCCCTCTCCCACGAAGGACGAGGAGCCCCAGCGCCCCACTGGGGCCCAGGTGAAGCGCCACGCCTCCTCCTGCAGTGAGAAGTCCCATCGAGCGGACCCACAGGTCAAAGTCAAGCGCCACGCCTCCAGTGAGTTCTGTGTGGGAGGGAAACGTCATGGGGGCCTGGTCGAAGCCAGGTTCTCCCCGTGCTAAGGTAAATAAATGAGGAAAGGGAGGTGTAAGGAACTGTCCTAGCTAAGCATAGTAGTATGCTGCTGTAATCCCAGCACTCTGGGAGGCTGAGGCAGGAGGATCACAAGTTCAGGCTCAGCCTAGGCAATTCGGTGGCTTATCGAGACTTCGTCTTACAATAAAAAAACTTGTAAAAGGGCTGGGAATATAGCTCAATGCAAAGCCCTGGATTCGGTCTCCAGCACTGGGGAGAAAGAAGTCTGTCCTAAGAAAAGTAACAGGTTCAGGGTACAGCTCAGCGGTAGAGTGCTCACCGAGCACGGATGAGGCTCTGGGTCCAGTCACCAGTGCCGCAGCAAGAGAGAAAGAAGAGTCACAATGCAAGCACAGCGGGAAAGGCAGTTGGCAAGTGGCCTCAGAGGGAGAATGACAGGAAGTGCGGGACAGTTGGGAAAGGAGCACTCAGGCACCAACTGAAGAAGTAGCTGCTGCTCAGCTCCCCCTAGTGGTCTCCACGCAGCAGTGCCAGTCCCCCTTGCCAGATTTACTGATTCGTCGAAGGCCAGGAGTCTAGATTTTATACGAAGTCTTAGTTTTTCATATTAGCAATTTTTTAAATTGTAAAACTGAAAGTGTTTTGTAGGAGAGAGAGAGAGAGAGGGAAGGAGTGAGGGAGGGGCCAAGCGAGCACCTTTCCAAGCTGTGTCTGTTCCAGAAGCTCAAAATTTGTGATTCCCATCTGGAGTAGCACGTAGAGAATAAAGTCCCTCCACATACCCTGCAGGGGCTGCCATGAGAGCCACAGTTCACCTCTGTGTCCCAGCCCCAACTCCACCTAACACCCTGTGGGCTCTGTGAACGGCCTTAGTGTCACATTGCACAGTAGTGGCTAAATGTCACAGACGACTCTTGTTAGGTTCTGTCTGATTTCCAGCACTAGCACCTGCCCCTGTGTGACCAAATCTCTGAGCAAGCATAGGACAGCAGGTTCCAACAGTTTCTTCTTCCTTCTTTGCATGTCTTCCAGTTGCACTTGAACAAAATCAGGTCCCATTCATTGCTTTTGAAGGCTTATTTAAAAAAAAAATTTCCTATCCTATAGCTCTGATTCATTAGTAGGGACCATTGGTGGGGAATCTGTGGCATGTTATTTTTCTTTTAAAGACAAAAGATGTTAATAGATGAGTTTTTTCTAAACTGGAACCTCAGTGTGCAGGTTTAATGTGGTATTGGCACTGTGAGAAATAAGCAGTTTTTGGGTTGCACTTTGGGCACTTGGCTCTAAAAGTTTCACCACCACTGCTGTAGACCACCCCTGCTGGAAGTCAGGAGATCCGTCCTCCATTCCTCACTTGGCCGCTCTGGAAAAGTCCTTTCCCTTCTCTAGGCCTGAGCTCCTTCTCTGAACAACTAGAAGAATGTGTACTCTTGTTTACATAGTACTATCATAAGCCCTAGAAATAAGGGGCTTATGAAAAGCCCATTTTAAAAAGAGAAACTACTGGGCTGGGGATTTAGCTCAGTGGTTCAGTGGCCTGCCTTGCAAGCGTAAGGACCCGAGTTCAACCCCCAGTACCAAAAAAAAAAAAAAAAAAAAAAAAAAAAAAAAAAAAAAAAAAAAAAAAAAAAAAAAAAAAAAAAAAAAAAAAAAAAAAAAAAAAAAAAAAAAAAAAAAAAAAAAAAAAAAAAAAAAAAAAAAAAAAAAAAAAAAAAAAAAAAAAAAAAAAAAAAAAAAAAAAAAAAAAAAAAAAAAAAAAAAAAAAAAAAAAAAAAAAAAAAAAAAAAAAAAAAAAAAAAAAAAAAAAAAAAAAAAAAAAAAAAAAAAAAAGGAGAGAGAGAGAGAAACTACTAAAAATTAAGCATGTAAGATTAAAGATACCATAAAAGGTCAAAAACACAGAGACAGAAACAGACCTTTTCTTCAGATCAAATCTTATATGAAAGCCCGGTTTATAAAAGAGATTCAAAAGTGGGGCCACACTGGCTGAAGCTCAGAACGGCCTTGCCATCACTAGGAAGTCACAGGGCTCCTGCAGGGCAGTGGGGAACACTGTTGTAGGCCAGCTGCATTGTTTTTCAGATGAAGAAACTGAAGAGCGCAGAGAGAAGTGTCTCCGTCCATTCGGACTGCCATAACAAAATACTCTAAACCAGGTGACCTATAAACAACAGATACTTACTTCTCACAGTCTAGAGGCTGGGAAGACCAAGGTGCCAGTAGATTTGGTGTCTGTGAGGGTTCACTTCCTGTTTCATAGCTGGCCATGTTTTTACTCTCTGGAGTCTCTCTTTTAATGTCCCTAGTCACAGTTACACATGCCCTGCTCTCATGACTTAATCAGGTGCTAAAGGCCCACCTCCAAATACCATTGCACTGGGGATTAGGTTTCATCATATGAATTTGGGGAGTTCAGAAACTTTCAGTTTATAGCAAGAGGGTCTTGCCCAAGATCACATATGAATCACCTATTACAACAGTGCAAATTACTCAGAATTTAGTGGCTCTAAACAGTGGGTCTATGTTATGTCACAGTTCCTGCAGATCAGGAATCCTGAGCAGGTGCATTAGGCGGTCCTGGTATGGGGGGGGGGCTCTCTCTCGCAAGGCTGCAGTCAAGATGTTTGCCAGTTCCTTGCAGTCACAAGAAGGCTTCACTGGTGCAAAACCCACTGGTAAACTGGCTCACTCGCGTGACCAGCAGGTTTGTGCCTAGCTCCTTGCCTTGGGGACCTCTCCACATGTTTGTATGTCTTCATGGTGTGACAGCAGGCTTCCCCCAGATCAAGTCCAAGGGGGAAGCAAGCAGACACTACAGTGTCATTTATGACCAGCGTTAGGTGTCACATCTGCCATTTCTACAGTACCCTAATACTTACACATCTCAGCCCTATTCAGTGTGGGAGGGGACATCAGGACATGAGAATCCGGAAATAGGAACCAGAGACCAAGTAGGCTGCTGAGAACAATAGTGGTATGAGATGCTCTGGAGACTCACTCCCCAGCAAAACAAATAGCAATGGTGAAGATTAGTAAACAATGTAGACTCTCTGGAAATTGTTCTAAAGTCAGAGAGCAAATGAAGAAACATCTATTCTGGAGTATTTATTAAATCACAGTGAGAATAGTGAGAGTTGGTGCCATTTCAGCCACAACCCACCCCATTACTGCCCCCCAACCCCGTGCCAGCTCAGTGTAAGATTCTCTGTGGAAAGGGGTGGGTTCGGGGCCCTGTCCTGCTCTCCCTGCTGTATTTAAACTCAACGCTCGAATTGCGGGCAGTTTATGCCAACGGCTGGTTTTCACATCGGTGACCACTGTCATCCCTAAAAGAGCTGGACAGACAAGCCCCTCAACACCCAGGGAGCCACGAGAAGCAGTTAGTAACCCACCAACTTCTGAAGGGCTGCAGCTTTCTCAGAGGGGCCTTGCCTCAGCTAAAGCTCAAACAAACGTAGACACTGGAGTCGTGTCCAGCCTTGGCCCTGGCACCGTTAGCATCAGTGGGGGAACCTAACCCCGCTGTGCCTCATCTTTCTCAGCAGTAAAGTAGAACTAATAAGTAGATCAGTAAATTCAGTACAGATAATAAAGAAATAGAGTTTAAGGAGTACATGGAATGTAGATAAATGGATCAGCGTGCATTGCCTCCTGTGTAGTAAATGCCATACTTACGTATTAGTATTTGTAGGGGACAGGGACAGGGTACGTTCCTAGAACCTCTGCATCCGGTCCTCGCCTCCTGCGAGCCATGACAGCGCAAGGCGAATTAATTAATATATAGACTGAAAGGAGACTCAGAGAAGCTGAGCCTTGACCTGATCCGTGCCACTCTGGGCAGCAACGATCCCAGACCCCAAGCTTGCCACACCTCTATTCAGTGCACCAGGAGAAACAAAGGTAGCAGCTGACTCAGGGCAGCTCTGGTGATCCCCAAACCGTGAGGCACTGTGCACGTGAGTATTTGGTCCCTCCCCGGACGTCTTCAGCTGGTGCGGTCTGCCCTGGAGCGTCACAGCATCACCGGACCATTGAGGTCTAGCTGCGACAGGCGGCGAAGATGGAGTTATGTCTCAACATGCCGAAGCTGGCCTGTAGACAGGAAAACTAGGCCCTAATTTTGATTTAATTAGGAAATAACTTTTCCCCAAAATCATGTAGAATTGTTCCCAACAGTTGCACCTACAGTAGACTCCTGGGTGCCACTCTGCTCCACCAATACAATGGGCAGTGCCTTTACTCAGGCCTAGATCCTCTGTGGATCTGAGTTGTATCTACTTCCTTATCTTATATATACTTGAGAGGTCATCATACTAACACGTGCCCCTTTAAAACCAAAGTGTAGCTGGGTGGCGTACGCCTGTATTCCTATTAGTGGGGAGGCTGAGGCAGGAGGATCACCATGAGTTCAAGGCCAGCCTGGGCTACATAGTGAGACTTGTCCCTAAAAATAAATAAAACCAAAGCCTGTTATACCTCGCAAAATTTGTTTTGTTATATAATTTTATTGGCTTACATTCTTGTCGCTGAGACACAATAACTGACACCCTCACAGAATGAAAGGTTTATTTTGGCTCACGGTTTTTAGAGGATTCAGTGCATAGTTAGCTGCGCAGTGGCAGGGAGGGCATGGTAGAAGGGTCTGGCAGGAGACAGCTGCTCAGGTCGTGGCAGCGGGAAGCCCAGGGAGTAAGGACGAGCCGGAAGGAAGGGAGATGCGCTGACCGGTTCCCACCCCTAGTTGCCCACCTCCAGCCGCCCCTACCTGCTAACAGCAAGTCAGCTGGAGCCCCCATGTCCAGTCACCCTCCAGAAGCCCCACTTCTGAACACATGAGGCTTTTGGAGATGATTCTAGATCTAAACCACAGCAGTTACTATCACTATTACCTAACGTTTATTAAACCATCACTGTTCTCCAGGTACTATACTAAGTACTTTACTCCTCTCATTTCAACTTTACTTTAGCCTATAAAATAAACATTGGCCAATATTCTTATTTACACATAGGCAAACTAAGGCCTAAGGGGAAAAGCATTAAAACATCACCACTTGCTTCTGCCAGATGTCACATGAACAGTAAGGGCAGAGAGAACACAAACCTTTGTCTGGTCCAAAGGCCTTGGCTTGTGCTCTGCTGCCTCCCTTTCACTCTTCTGTAGGAAGTCTCCCCTAAGGGACTCGATCTAAATGTTCCCATTTTATAGATGGAGAACTTGAGACTGAGAGAACCTAACACCACCCACATGACTCAACAGAGGTTAGAACCTAGCACCTTTTCCTTTCCCACATTTCTGCAGGTGCCAATCAGTACAAGTATGGCAAGAACCGAGCTGAAGAGGATGCCCGGAGGTACCTGGTAGAAAAAGAGAAGCTGGAGAAAGAGAAAGAAACTATTCGGACAGAGCTGATGGCCTTGCGACAGGAAAAGAGAGAGCTAAAGGAAGCCATTCGGAGCAGCCCAGGTACCTGTGCGGGTGTGGTCCTGAGTACCCATGGGCCTCAGCCCTGGCACCTCCCCTGGCACAGTAACATTGGGAGATCTCTTACACAGGTCGTCCTGTATCCTGCCTAGACGTGTTGCTCAGATTTCCCTCACTTTGACAAAATACCTGACATAAATCCACCATAAGGAGCAAAGATCTATTTTGCCTCACCGTTTCAGAGGTTTCAGTCCGTGGTCAGCCAGCCCCAGTGTGTTAGGCCTGTGCAAGGCAGAAACATCATGAAGGGAGGGACATGGAGGAGAGCTGCTCACCTTACGGAAGCCAGAAAGAGAGAGAGAGCCAGAGGGGAGGGCCTGGGAACAGATACAACCCCCAAGGTCATACTCCCATGATCCACTCCCTTCAACTAGGCCTTATGTCCTGTTCCCCCCATTAATTCCCAACAATGCCGTCAAGTTGTGATTTTGTGAATGAATTAACCTACTGATGAAGTTAGACCTTCCTGAGCTGATCCCCTTCCCAAACCCTGTCTTCTGAACACACAAGCCTTTTGAGAGATGTTTTAGATCCAAACCACACCAGGACTTTAGAAGTATGAAAACCAGAAAGGTGTGCCTTTGAGCGAAAGAAATGTGTGATTATCTCAAACCTCATATTCATTCATTCAGAGATAAGTGTGAGACTTTGGTCCAGGTGCTAAGAATGATGTATAGTGACACTCTGGGATTCTTTTCTGAAATCCTGGGGCCTCAGCAGGCCCTATCTGCTCTAGACTCCTCTACACCCCATTTTCTGCTGTATTTCCTGTGAATTCTCATTGTAGCTGCAGTTCACACACTGGTTTCTCCACATGTGGGAGAACAGAAGTCCTGTTCTCATAGAACATGTCCCAGGGCACTTAGAATCTGTGGACCTTTCCTAAGACAAAAACACCGCAATCCGAAATGTCACATACAATTTCAATCGATTGTCCAAGAGCCTCAGATTGAGAACTTCGAGTTTAAAGGATAAGACACTTTTCATGTGGGAAGGAACTAAACTCAGTGTCAGAGATAGGAAGGAAGTTTGGTTTCTGTGAAAAGAATTTTCAAAGCATCAGAACTAGGATTTGGAGCAGGCTGACATCTTTCTTGTCCTGCTAAATATTTTTTGTTTCTGTAACTCTTATCATCTTGAAACGTACCAGGTTATTACTTTTATTTATTGTCACACACACACACACACACACACACACATGTGCGCACACACATACAAGCCCCATAAGGACAAAGATCTTTTGTTCACTCACATGTCCCAAGGGTCTGGGACAGTGCTTGGTACACAGAAAGAGCTCAGTGGTGCTCATTTCGGCAACACATATACTAAAATTGGAATGATACAGAAAGAACTCAGTGAATATTTACCAAAGGAATTAATGAATGAACTTAACATTTCCGAGAAACCTTCCAACACAGTCTGCCTCACAGCAAAGAATGGAGGCAAAGACCCAGCACAGCCCTTGGCACAAGAAGGTAATACATGGGTTTATTGGATGAAACGGAGTAAGCACCGAATCCTCCTGGTGACTCTGGTCTATGTAAAGCCCTGTGTTAGGACCTTTGTTTGCAATTAACAGAAACCAAAATCAAACTGGCATATAAAGGGATAGAAGAAAGATGTAAGTGGAAAATTTAGAGATCAGGTGTAATAAAGTCTAGGGATTTAAATGATGTCTGCAGGAAGCTTAGTGCTTGTGCCTTCCTCTATTCTGGTTTCATTCTCTTCCTCATATGGTGGCACAGTGTCTGCCCAGTGGTGAAGGCTGGAGCTTCACTAAGTCCTCTTAGTCACCCCAGCAGAGCGAGCTTTTCGTCCCAGTTCCTGCCACCATCACCTTAGGATTCACTCTAATTGGACCAACGCTGATCCCTAAACCAATCACTGTGACGAGAACATGAGAGGTGATTATGGGTCAGGCCTAACTTATGTGTCCAACCCTTGAACTAAGAGAGGGATCAGCTTCATACAAACTACAAGGAAAAAGAGGGGAAAGCATTTCCCGGGAGAAAATCAGTATGCTGTTCCCAGGAGAGGGATACTGAGCAGGCGAAGACCCCACCGGTCAATTCAGAGGTAGAAGCCCAAGCCCCAGATCGATCTCCAGCAAGACTGAGAAGCTAGAAAGACCCCTGAGAGGGAGAAGCAAGAGCCGCAGGCCGGGCTCAGCTGTTTCTTAACAGTGTCTCTGGGCTCAGGAGCAAAGCCGCCGTCTTTGGAGGAGGCTGTGGCCGCCCTGGAAGCACAGTGTCGACAGCGGGAGGAGCGCAGGATCGACCTGGAGCTGCGGCTCGTGGCTGTGAAAGAGCGCTTGCGGCAGTCCCTGGCGGGGGGCCCGGCCCTGGGGCTCTCCGTGAGCAGCCAGAGCAGGAGTCCGGTGAGTGCATCGCCCTGACGGGAGCAGCTGCAGATCCCTCTGCCGGGGTTTTCTTTGGGGAAAGGAGATGTGCTCATTTACCGATGAGAAAACCGAGGTCCAAAGGGGCGGGCATGAGCCAGCTGCAGCACAGACCTGACGGGACTCTTGCAGCAAGTTCTTTTTGTTCTCTGGCCGCAGCTGACTTTTTGTCCTGAGGGCAGTCTTAGAAATGGCCTTGGAGTTGTTGACAATAACGGCCACCTTGTGCTGAATAATAAACCTGTGTCATTCTACCATTGGCCTGTACCGCGTCTTACCCTGTATTTTCTCCCGCTGTCTTCACAGCAGTCCTGTGAGGTAGTATTGCATGTTTTAACCGCATTTGACAAACAGGGAGTGGGTTTGAGGTCTTCTATGTCTTGCCCGAGGTTCGCTAAGCAAATTGTGAGGCAGAATTCCAAACACAGGAAATCTGACCATGGAGCTGTGCTTTAGCACCATACACATGGCCTCTCCAGGGTCTGCAGCACACCCAGTCCTGCCTGGGGCTGGCATGCGTTACTGCTAATGTCCCAGTGACCCCACAGGTTAGCACTTGCACCTCCAGCAGCACACTTCCTAACCCCACTCTTAGAACGTCCCTGACCTCATCCCTCTTGGGGTTTTCAGCCTCAGCAGTGTTGATATTTGGGGCCAGTACTTCTTATAGGAGACCACTGTGTGCATTCCAGGATGTTTAGCAGCATCCCTGGCCCCTTCTCATTGGTGCCAACAGCACCCCATTCCCAGACGTGACCACCAGAAATGTTTCCAGGTCTTGCCAGATGTCCCCTGAGAGGACAAAATCATCCCTACCTAGTTTGGAACCATTGGTCTCAGTTAGCAACATTCTAATCCATTATTATCCCTCATAGCTCTTAGCTCTTATACAGTCTGTGTGTGTGTGTGTGTGTGTGTGTGCGCATGCGTGTGTGTTGTGTGTGTATTTGTGTCCTTATTTGTATAATGTTTTCCTTCAACTACTGTTGTTTGCATCTTTACGAATTGGGAGCTGAGGTTGTCACTCCCTTGCCTGGCGTATGCAGTGGCCTGGGTTAGAGCCTAGCATCACGCACATAAAAAAAAAAAATTGGACTATGTCTATTTTATCACCGTGTACCACCCTTTACACAGTCTGAATTATAGTAAGATGTAATAAGTGTCTGTTGAGTGAATAAGTGCCTGCCTGCTTTCAGAACGTAAAATGGAGACTCAAAGAGATAAAATAACTTGTCTGATGAGCACAGGCTGTCATCGGGAGTCGTAGTATTATTGTTGTTCCAGCTCACACTGCCTGGGCCGGCCACACCCAGTGGAGCTGTGTCACATGCTCCCACATGTCCTCTCTGAGTGGGTATTTCCAACCTCATTTTGCAGATGAAGACCATGTGGGCCAGAGTCACAGAGCATGGAGGAGCTAGAACTGGTTCATTGGTCACAGCTGCTTCCTCCTACCCGCGTGCCAGGCATTCCTAGTCCAGAGTGCTTGATCCCTTTGACACCCTCTGGAAATAAAAGGCAACCTCCTCTAAATTCTTCACAGGCTTAGCTGTGAGATGTCACAGTTAAGGAACTATATTCAGTAAAGTATTAAGCAATCATCTGGAAAATGTAAGTGTGAAGGTACAAATACTAGGAGGGAGTACAGAGGGACCCTTGACTTACGAACTCAGTTTATTTGTGAAGGCTGGTTGTAACTCAAGTTGGTCAGTCGAAGATTCAGGCTGCTCTACACAGCCTTCATAGTCTCTCTCCTGTATGCAGGCAGATCTCAGTGTCCTTAGAGAGATGTTGGCCCAAGATTTCTCAGTTAACCCCGCACAGGAACAGACGTTGCAGTGTTCCTCCCAGAACTCTGTATCTGAGACCATCTGGAAGCACAAGTGGCCATTCAGGTTGTAACTCAAGGCATTGGTTGTATATTAAAACTGAAATTCCAATCAAAACCTAAGTTGTTCATATGTCGGGCCAATCATAACTTGAGGGTCCACTGTACCATAGAGGATAATAGGGCTTGTAGCTCAGGGGCAGAGCATGTGTTTAGCATTTGTGAGGCTTTTGGGTCCATCCCCAGCAATACCCGCCCCCAGCCAAAAGAGTGGGGCTGTGTGTGGGGTTTGCTCTCGTACCACCAGTCATTTGACCTTGTGCAGCAACTTGACTCTCCCAGTTTCCTTATCTGTAAAATGGGATGGCCAGTCATAGTGTGCCTCATACATGGGCTGAAAAGCTACATGAATTAATCCACACAATGCTTAGTGAACAGTGAAGGTTTGGTCACTTTTAACTGTTACTGTCTGTCTTGATCCCAAGGCCTTTGGTATCGTCTTCCCCTTACCCTGTTCATTGTTGGCATGTTTGCCTAGTGTCTTATTTTAAAGTGCTCTTACTCTTTGGAGGGAAGTTTGAGTACAGGTAGCATTACAAACCTCACCTGTTTAACTTCAATTTTTTCTTTTTCTTTTTTTTTTCTTTTTTTGCCATCAACAGGAAACTACAAATAAACCCCAAAACAGTGTCACAGAGCAATCTCTCCCTGTCAATTGTGTTTCTGAGCTACGGAAGAGGAGCCCATCCATTGTAACCTCCAACCAAGGAAGGGTGCTGCAAAAAGCCAAGGTACACCCAAAATTAGGCTAATCCAAAGTCAGAGATCTGGAAGCCCCCTTTTTATGCAGCCTCACCCAAAAACAAAAATTAGCTCGTGATAAAGGGAGGGAATTGCCAATATATCTGTGTAATACAATTCATTAACTTTCCACAGAGGACATAATTGTCCAGTCATATTCAGAACCTCTTCCCACCACTTGGGAGGCTGATGCAGGGGGACTGAGTTTGAGGCCAGCCTGAGCTGCATAGACTTAGTCTCAGAATGCACATGTACACACACATACACACACACACTCACACACACACACCTCTAATGAGCTTATTCATCTGGTTTCTAAACCTAAACGTGTTTTGAGACAGGAGGTCCCACTTCAGATAAGGGGTGATAGGACTTACTCAGAGTTACTGCAGAAACAGTTACAAACCCACCTGTGCCAGGGCTCAGCAGGGGCTCACTCTGGGATGCTGGCCCGTAGTCCCTTCTGTGTAACTCACAGGGTCAACTGTGCTTCAGAACTTTTTGGATTTTAGAACGGCACATACTAAGGATGATGGAAAACCCCAGTATGTTTCAAGTACTATCCTGCAGCAAACATGAATACAGTAATTCCACAGGAACCTTTGTGAACCTTTGCACCACGTGGAATGAAGTTGTAATCAGCCTTACGTCATCCCGTGTCAGGGTTTGCCACCCAGTGAGTTTATGCCAGAGCACTTGATAACTATATTGGTTTCAGAGCTTTTGGGTTTCGGAATTGCAGATAAGAAAGTGTGGACCTGAGAAACAAATGTCCAGCACATGGGAGATGCTCAGAGAAGCTTTGGCTGAAGTTGAATCTGAGACCTGCCTGGCAGCCGCACATAACGTGTGACAAATTGCTGGGAGGGGAGACTGGAAACATAGTTTGAGATGGAAGGGCCTCCCATAACTAGCTAAGAAATGTGGAGAATAATGAGTTTTCTCCCTTGTAAGATGAAAAGTTATACAGCAGAGCACCAAAACAGATCCCTTTTCTTAGGGAGTTGGGAATGTAACTCATAAATATAGAATGAGGCCAGGTGCTAATAAGTACTTTGACATAAAAGGGAGCAAAGGGAAGAGAAGGTGGCAAAGAACGGAGGTGGCTGTTTTAATGACGGTGACAGCAAAGGCCCTTTTGAGGGTGTGACACATGAGCTGATGCCTGAATGGGGTATGACAGAGGGAGCCCTGTGAGGATGTGAGGGAAGGGTGACCCAGGAAGAGACGAGCAAGTGCCACGTTTTTGAAGTGGGGGGAAGAACTGGCACTTAAACATCAAGCGGGTCCAAGTGAGTCCAAAGAAGGGAACCAAAGGTGAGCTCTAGAAGATGAGACCAGAGAAGTCCCCAGCCAACCAGCACACTATTTTTCTAAAGAGCCAGACAGTATGTATTTCAGAATCTGCCAACCCCATAGTCCATTTCACAACCATTCTGCCAACATGAAAGTACATGGTCAATAGGAAAGGAATAAAGAACACGTCTGTGTCTCAATAAAACCTTAATAACAGGTGGTGAAACTTGAATTTCATATCATTTTCACCTGTCATGAAATACTGTCCTTTTGATTTATTTTCCCAAACATTTAGAACTATTAAAAGCATTTTTGGCTGATAGGTTATATAATAGCAGACAGGACAGATGTGACCACTGGGCCACAACTAGCCAATCCTCTATTTTATGATTTGCAAACCATTGGAGGAACTAAGAATTTTGTTTAACATAACAGGAAGTCACTGGACAGATTTGAGTAAGGTTTTTTTAAATATGAATTACATTTTTAAATGGCCATTTTGAGCTGGGCATGGTAGCACATGGCCATAATCCCACCTCTCTAGGAGGCAAAAGCAGGAGGATCACAAGTTCAATTCCAGTATAGGCAGCATAGCAACTTCATGAGATTCTTGTTCAAAAATTTTTTTTAAAGTTAAGGGATAAAGATATAGCACAGTATAAAGACCTGGGTTCAATCCCGAGTACCACTACCCTCCAAAAGCCATTATGGCTACTATGGAAAAAATGGAAGCAGGGACGAGTTAGATCATCATCATGAAATGACTTACTCAGGGCCACAAAGATACTGAGTAGGACAAGGACCCAAGGGTCTCTAACCTGCCAGTGGAAATCTTAAAGAACAGTAAAATGTATGTTTGTTTGTGTGTTTTGGTACCAGAAATTGAACACAGGACCTCATGATTGCCAGGCAGGTGCTGTGCCACTGAGCTAAACCCCTGGCCCCGTAAAATGTTTTTTTAATCCAGCAGTCACACTAGAACAGTTAAGAACCTGATGTGTCTTGTCTTTTTGTACTTCAGGAATGGGAAATGAAGAAGACCTAGAAAGAGGATGAAGATTTCATTCCAAAGGAAATAATCAGTGTTGTCCACCTAAGGCAGAAATGCTTTCTTCCCAAAGAGACACCAGGAGAAGACTGGAAGTAGCCCCAACTCTCTGGCACACCCAGAAAACTGGCCTTTATTGTCTGTTTGATTTTAGGGGCCTGGGGAGGGAGGACACAAAGGAAAGAGAGAAATGGAGGGCATCCTTCTGACTTTACAATGGGTAGAAATGGGGGTGGAGGGGACGGAAGTCTGTACAACCTTAAAGGTTCTGTTTGCTATCTTTGCCTTCCCTTCTGAAGAAGAAATGAAAGCACATGTGAATAAGCCATTCAACCCACCTCAGCCTCCCATTCCCAGTCCTTAAGGGAAAGGAGGGCAATGCTGGAACATCAGTGTTGAGGTGTAAAGAGATAGGACTTGATGATCTCATCTGGTCACGCTTGTGCCAACCGCATTCCAGTGGGCAGAGCAAACAGGCTGCAACGTCAGGAACATGATCCCTGCCTGCACAGAAGTGAGTGAGAGCCATCATGAACACGCAGTCCTGCCATCACGCCTCAGCTGCTTTTCATCTAAGCAGAACGCAGCTACCGAAACTTCTGGATTTCAATATTTTGAAATTAAGTACCTGAGTACCCAGGGGCCAAAGAGAGTTGATGAACTGATGTATTTTAAACTCACAGTGATAGGAACATGGAGTTCTAATGTCCACAGCATGTGAAGGCACTGGACAGTAGGGTCATTTGCTGCCAAGCTGAGTCCTTTATTTTATATGGCATTGACTTTCCTGGAGCTATAGTTAGAACTATGTCATTATCCTAATGAAGTTCTTCTGTAACACTGGGAAGCCTATCACCCTGCCCTCCTCTGTCTGCTATAAAGCAAAACTATCCAGACAACCACTGGATGGTGGCCTTTGCAGCCACATAGGTGCGAAGCCTTTTACAAACACTTGATACTTTTATAGGCAGTGCAGGGACTTCAAGTCCTAAGCAGCCTCTTTTATGCCACTCACTACTGTCTCACACTCCAGGCATTTTATGGGTCTGTCTTTAACATGTTTCTCTCCAATAAAGATAAAACTATCAACTCTTAAGAGCTCAGCAGGTAGCTCAAGTGGGGGAGAAGGGAAGTCCCAAAAGAAGCTGTGGACATTTTGTCAGATGCTTCACACGTTTTACCATACTAAACCAGAAGTTTAACATACTTAAGCCTAACTTAAACTCTACCACCCTCTGAAGTAGCTGGAAGGGAGAGCAGGAAAAATAACCTGACCGAAACCCCCTAGCTGCTTACGGCAGGCAGAGCACATAATTTAGGGGTTATGATCCAAAGAGCCCTGGGTTTGAATGCTGCCTTTCCTATCTACCTGCTGGGTAGCCTTAGGAGAATCACTTGACCTGATTTTTGCTTTCCTTACCTCCAACTGATAGGGGGATTTAGTGAGATAATACATGAGAAGCATCTTGTGTGACATCAGACAGGAAACAAGTCAGTAATGGCTACATAAATGTCAAACTCAAAAGTCTGTGTTCTTTCTACTGAGAAGAAATGACTTTTGTATGGCAATTACAGGCATCAAAAGGCAACCAATCCAAGCCAGGCGTGCCTGTAATCCTAGCACTCTGGAGGCTGAGGCAGGAGGCCTGGAAGTTCAAGAGCAGCCTGGACTACAGAGCAAGAACCTATGTCAAAAAAAAAAAAAAAATCCAAACTCATTTTCATCCAAATTCCATTTCAGTATCTCCAGTAACAAAAGAGCTCACATACTCTGGATTGCCAATTTTCTTTTTTAAGAATACACTAAATGGCACCCACCAGAATATACTCAGTATCTGTCACATTTTTATGCAGTTATTTTGAGGTTAAATGTCTTCTTTCCACCAATATATCTGGTTTCAAGAGGAGAGCCCTTAAATCATTAATAACATGTATTGAGTACTTAACCACACTTCGGGCATTGTTAGCTAAAACTAAGCCCTAAGCGCACAGTGTATGTAGTCACACAGGGTCCCATACCCAGAAGGTCCTGATTCTGTATTGCCTTCATAATTTTTCCCCTTAATTTTTGAACAAATGCTCCTGTGGTTTCCTTTTGTGCCTTAAATGACATAGCTAGTCATGACAGTAATCCGTTTCCCAGACATTATTCCTTTAGCTATCATTAAAATCCTTTGAGAAATGGGTTATCCCAATTTTTGCAGTTCACTCTGATCCTAGATCCCTCCTGACTCCAAAGCTCTATTTTATCCACGTATCTCCCTCCTGTTGCACTGTAGCATTCAGGAGTGGCATTTAATATATAGATGCACCATGGCTGCATGTATGCAGCACACTTGGTATAAGTTGGCAACTAAAAGAAATGTAAGCAAAATAGCTAAAACAAGTGCCAATTCTTATTTGTACTTGTTAAAATGCCTTGTTTGGTTGTGGGTTTTTTGTTTTGTTTTGTTGCATTTTTCGAAACTATAGGCCACGGGGCTGAGGAGAGTTTAAAGCTCCAGGTTTCTCAACACTAGCAAGTGTTTGGTCTGTTAGAACCCTCGAGTTACTGGGTACTCATCAATCACCCTGAGCCTGTTTTCTCATACATAAAAAGGATTCATAAATTCTTCCTAAACTATGTTGCTTTTCTTCTAAGATGTTTTAAAAACAAAAACAAGACGTTGGTTATAACATTTGTGACCTGGGCTTTGGATGAGATATAAAAGTGCAAAATACTCCAGCCCTGCACTTAGAATTCAGGGTCAAGCAGGAGAGAAAATGACCCAAATTGCTAGTAGACGCAAAGCGCACTTTGAAGATTCAGAGTACTGAAGGTGCATGCCCCATTCCTTTTTTATTTTGTTTAACGTTAAGGGTTACCCAGTAATGCTAAGGCAGAACATCTCTTTTGCCTGGGCTATTATTGGCAAAGCTTGTCTCCCCTACCTCTTTTCATACACCCTGCAGTCTCCCTCGGATAACAAAGTGACTCTTAAAACATGTAAAGGTTTTGACACGTTCTCATTGTAATCAGAATAAGACTAAGGTTCATCCAACAGATGGGGGGGTAAGTGTTGAGAACGTAAAGAAGTGACCATTGCGAATGAACAAAAAATACAGTCTTTCTGCCCCGATAGGACTTTTATTTTTGTCAAAAATGGGGATATTACACATCATTTTTTTTTAAATCAAAAAATGCATTGGCGTAAAAACGAAGAAAAATGGGGGAAAGAGCGTGTAGGCTGCAATTATTTTCATCGTTCACGTGATCTGGTCCTGTCCAGCTCATTACCACAACACTATGACCCTCACTTTTATAAACACCGGTTATATTTTGAGTTTATGTCGCGCTTTATTGGCCACGAATACCGCACCTGGCATCGGGCCCACTCGCAGTTCGCACCACACTAAACGAGAACCCTTTCAGGTTCAGAGCACCTGAAGAGCGGAAGTTCAGCGTTCCAGTCCGGAAGTCCCGAGAGGAAACGTTCGCAAAGGCTGCCGGGAGGCGTGGTTTTTAAACGAGAACCGCTCTTCATCTGGAGTGAGTGCGCTTGCGCCGCATCGATCCTCTCAGGTCTGGAACATGGCCGCGCGGTCGCTGTGGGCGGTCCGGCGGCGGTTGCAGCGCCTCCTGGCCTCCAATACCGCGTCGGAGGGCAGGTAAGCGATGCGAGTGGGGTCAGAGACCTTAAGGCTATGCAGGAAGGCTGTGGGGGGAAGGCGAGAGTTAATTCGCCGAAGGCCGAAAAGACGCGCCAAACCTCTCGGCCTCTTTGACCGGACGTTGACTGCCCCATTTTACGGAGGGGGAAACCGAGGAGCACCTGTTTCCTAAACCGGGGGAGATGGGTGGCCGAGGTCACTTACTTGAAGGAGAGAAGCGCCTCTGTTGAATTGCAGATAAACCTCTCTGAGGGCCCCTTCTCATCAGCAGTGTCTGTGGGTGTGTTGGGGTTCTTGCGCTGCCTCCATGTGACTTTAGGCCAACCCATTCCTTCTCCCATCATCAGTTTATCTTTTGGTTAAAAGAGAGCACCGGACCTGGTTTCCCCCAACAGCCCGTCGCTCTGCCTTAGAGATAACTGTGGAATTTCAGCTGCTGCCTTTGGTTTTTATTTAATGTTTTACCCGTTGCAGAATTATTCCTCATTTAGTAATTGAAGAAACAGGTCTAAAAAAAGTTGAGTAACTTTTCTAGACTTAAATTCTCAGGAACTTTTAGGCCCCGGAGTGGAAACAAGATAGGGCTCTAGAAACAGCGCTCTTAGGCAATGGTGTTGGTTTTTGTCAGAAACTGTTCCTGGAAAAGAATGAAAATGGATGAATATAGAATAGGGTCGGACCTCTGGATGTAAATTTTGCTGCAGGGAAATCCCGATATTTGCATAACTATTTGTCATCTTTTTATGTCAACACACCTGATTAACACCCTGTCCTTAACACCTAAGTGAAAAGTTAAATGGGGGCCAGGGAGAGTTTTATTTCAAGTTTTCTGGCAGTTTGTTGGTGATCTAAAAAATAGTTCCTTCTTGAATGATTTCATCCCACTCCTGTTCTGAAGGAATAAGAATCAGGATCTGCTCCAACTTCTTTCATAATGTGAGTTCTGACCATTTTCTTCTCAAACTGGCTCTGAGGTATTTTGACCTGCTTTCAGTTGGATAAATGTGTTTGTTGTTTGTTTTCATTTTTGTTTTTTAAGGGGAATAAGCTATTTCAACATGTGTAATTTACTGTAGATTTTTGTTGACCATATTTTCTGAACCAAAAATTCAGAACAGCACATCATAATAATTGAATTCAAGACCAGCCTGGAAAGTCTGGGAGATAAGTTTTCTTGTCCAGACCTATAAACTAGCTCTTTGCTCTGCCCAGCATGTTCTTCTCTTTTTTTTTTTTTTAAGCAGACTCCTTTATTCTCCTCTTAAGCTTTTCTTCAGATGTCCTCAGTGACCACGATTATATGCCTGTTCATGTAACTAAACTATTTGTTTTAAAGAGGTCCTATATCCAAAGATTGAGTTTCTTGATAATTTTATCGGAAATCAAATTACCAAGATCCTCAGGAAGTATTGATGGAAACTTGCTTAAATTAGGAGTTGGAACTGTCATAGTGAAAGATCTGCTATAAACTAGCCCCTACTCTAAATTTCTTCCCTTGTAAAATGTCTAACATTTTAGTGAAATCAAGGGCTTTGTGCCCATGCATAGAAGCCAGTACTGTGGCACACCAGTTTTAAGAAAAGAGCAAACTTTATCATAAGGTCAGCTGGTAAGGAGATCAGGAGTAGACTGCACAAATCAAACCTCCCCAGTTGGTTGGTAATAGAGGAATTTATAGAAAAGGAGGTGGGAGATGCTTCTTGATTAGATGGTGAGAAGGGGACGTTTTAGGCTTGTTTTGTGCAAGCATAGTCATTATGCCTCATCACAGGAAGGAGTTATGATGTTCTGTGTGGAGGGAGCATTTTGAGCTTGTGACATCAGAAGTTCAGTAACTGGACCAGCTGGCTTCTGCATGTGTCCATTCCTGAAAATCCAGTTTCAGACTGACTTTGAATATATTCTGGAGACACATCTTGAAAGATAACTAAAGCACTTTGTTATTTAAGGACTTTATGTCCGATGGTGTCCAAGCCTTAGCTAATTTCACTACCTATACAAATTCTAGATTACGTGACTGGTTGAATACAGGATCTGTTTTAGTCATCTGTTACAACTCAGAAGCTGTCAAATATATTATTCTGTAAGTATTTCATTGGTTTCATTTTATAAATAAGTGAGTTCCCAACTCAGAATGTCTTTCTCAGTGCAGGTTCTCCTCCCTGAAAACATTATAAAGTGTGCTCAAGAAAATTTAGAGCACTACTTGACTCCCTTTACTGGAACTAATTTTCTCCTTCTGTAAGATGAAAATCAATCAGAACTATAACTGTGGTTTTGAATTTTCACTTCTGGTATTGCCCCTTTGCTTCTGGGAATTAGCCTTGGTTTCCTCTTTGTTGACTTTTGTGAACTCATTTGTGGATAGTTCTACTGTCAGATGCTCAGTGTTCTATCTCAACAGAATGCTAGCTCTGCGGCATGTGATTTGTTTGCTTTTTTAGGAACAGGGTCTAGCTATATTGCCCAGGAAGCCTCCTGATCCCCTCATGTCCCCCTTCCCAGTTGCTGAAACTGTAAGCACACATCACTTTATCTAGCTTACCTGTGTGATCTTGAACAAGTCATTAAGCCATTTGCCTCTCAGCTTCAATTTTTCATCAGTAAAATTGAGATAATAGTACTTATCTCATGTTATTAGTAACAGCTATTCATAATAGCAAGAAAATGGAGTCTGTCCAGCTGACAAATGGATAAAAACACTTGTCCACACAATGAGCTATTATTACTCAGTAATAAAAAGTAACCAGTTATTGACAAATGCGGTTACATGGATGAACCTTAAACATATCACAATACTCCCAAATGACCACATATATGACCTCATTTATGTTAAACATCCATAAAAGGCAAATCTATAGAAGACACAAAATACGTTAGGCTTTCTCAGGTCACCAGATTTGGGTAGAAATGGAAAACAACTTATAGTAGTTATAAGCCTTTTTTTTGTGATGATAAAGATGTTCTAAAAATCTGACGCTTGCCCAACTAAATATCCTAAATACTTTTGAGTTGTACACTTAAATGATTAATTGTATGGCTGAGAATTATATATCGATAAAATTATTTTTTAAAAGCTCTAAAAAACAGTAATGTTTATATCGCGCTGTGAAATAAAAAGATGCTGGTTAAATAGTACGCAGTACTTAGTAAGGAGTTTATAGGGTTTATTTGTCACCGACTGAAAACAGTCTCTAGAGATTCACTATGGGGGACTTTGTGGTATCTAAATTTTGTTGTAGCTTTGCCTTTTTATAATGGCATTTATTCATATGTCACCTTACCCTACTTTAGGGGATGGCTACACCCATTCAGCACTGCCACCCAGAGAACTGCTGGTGAGGATTGCAGTTCTGAGGACCCTCCTGATGAGCTTGGGCCTTCTCTTGCTGAACGAGCCTTAAGATTAAAAGCTGTTAAACTAGAGAAGGAAGTCCAGGATTTAACAGTGAGTGGATTTCATATTATCTATTCTCTTTCTTTCTGTAATTTAAATATCCAAGTTAGAAGTTTGGGGTTTGTTTGTTTGTTTGTTTGTTTGTTTTTGGTATCAGGGGTCGAACTCTGGACCTTGTGCTTGTGAGGCAGGCACAGTGCCATTGAGCTAAATCCCTGACCCTTCAAGTAAAATTTTTATATCCACTTAAAAATGAGGTTTCCTCTTGCCAAAAAAGAATCTATAATAATTAAAAGTCACTGGCTAAGGGCAGTAATCTCTTTTTAGTTACCAATTGAGTCACATCAATTATACTTCTGACAGTTTGGCAATTTTAAGGCGGTACGGTGCCTGATAGATAGTAGACAGTCAATAAATGTCAACTGAATTTGTGAGGTTAGTGATTCTGCTGAGCAGAACACATGTGGCAGACTATGGGTTGACACTCCTTGCAGGAGATGCATAGATAAACCAGAATAATCCCAAAGTCTCACCTTACTTAGAATGATAATGGAGGTTTGAAAGCATGTTTTATGAGAGCAATTGAAGGAACCAGGAATTCTAAAGAATGCAAGTGAAAAGGGCTAAAATAAGTACTTACAAATAGATGACACACTTGTAAAACTTAATCTCAGTTCTAGGGCTAAATCAGTGAAAGAAAGGTGGAGGTTAGTGGTGTTAGACAATTGTGAGACAGAAAACTTTTTCTCAAGATAATGAGCTGGAAAGTTATTGTGTTCAAGCTAGCAGGCTAAATGACCAGGGCTCCCAGAGTAAGTTCCTGCTTTGACTGGGGATTTAGAGTAGTTAATATAAGATTCTTAGAATTTGTAGTTTGTTTTATAAAAACATAGCACAGAGGTGAAATTTATTTAGAAAAGAAGTAAAAAAGAGAAGCATTTGTTTTCTTATCCTTTTGATTTTGCTTTTGATCTTCAGCTGAGATACCAGAGAGCTGTAGCTGATTGTGAAAACATCAGGAGACGGACCCAGAGATGTGTGGAAGATGCCAAGATATTTGGTGAGACATTTATTCATAATAAAATATATTTCAATCAAAGGGTACATACTTAAGCAGATTTGCCATCTGAACATGGTAAAAGTATATCTGAGTTCTTAACTGATCCCTCTCCTACCCTTCCATTCCCTTAAGCTTTCTGTGCTGCTTACCAGGAACAGTGTCACTTAACCATTTGCTAAAATAATGCTGGATTTTCTTTTAACCAAACTTTATTTTTTAGCACGTACAGTTAACTACAGTTCCAACATTCTAGTGCTCACACAAACAATTCTGTTTAGTTCATGTGAAACATTCAAATACTCAGAGGAAAATCTAAAGAGCAAATAGAAGGGTAGTAGGGAATACTGAAATTTGCTAATAGAAGCAAGATTTGTCTATATCCATGGGACAAGAATCAACTGTATCTCCACTAAACGATTTTCACAGCTACAGACCAGAATCCTTTGCTGTACTGTCAATAATCAGAGTCAGTCTACAACTTCATGAGTTATAAAGTAGCTTGAAGATAAAGGCTCAGTTCAGACCACAGAATCAGATAATTTTAAAATGCTGTGCTATACCTTATGTATTCTTTTGACAGAAGAAGTTTAATAGTCTTTCAGAAATTTTTCCCTAACCATACCACATCTTGTTTCAGTAGATTTTGAGAAAAATGTTAATTGAATAACCATGATTCGGGCAAATCTGTGCTTACTTGCTATACTATGAATTTAATATGGAATGTTGTGCTTTCTGGCACCACACGTAGAATGAAAAGTGCTTGAGAGTCCCCTTGATGTTACCTTGTCCAGTCCCTGTATCACATTCCTTCCTGTTACCTAGATTTGATCTGCTATTTGCGCACAGCATTACCCTGTGCACAGATTTGTTAATGCTTTTTACTTCTGTCCTGTCCCATTTCAGTGCTTTGGCATAACCTCTGCTGTTTGCTTAGTGCTTTATACCTTACGCTTTTAGTGTCAGTGAAGTACTAAGCCCCAAATTGTGTTCCTGATACTTCAACTATGTTTTAATCTCTTATTTCTAATTTTACAGCAGGACTCAACAAACTGTAGCCTGCCACCAGTTATTCTGTAGTTTTGAATTTCTTCCTTTAATATTCATTGAAACTTGTTTTCTCTTTTGTTATATAGTCATCTCTATAAGACCCATTATTTTGCCTCTTGTCCCACAAAGTCTAAAATATTTACTGTGTGGCCTTTTGCAGGAAGATGTTGCTGCCTTCTGAGCAATGGGAATGTCTACCAGACAGGCTGGCTATGATAACAGGGAGAGACTTTTGCTATAGCTCCTGCTTGAGGGGAAGGGTAGGTAGATTTTTTTATCAAGAGTTGAGCTTTAAATTAGAACTAGCTTGTTATGTCACTTTACTCAAAAAAATAGTAAAATTTCTAGGAACAAAGCCATGTCAAAAGAATTTGGTAGCTAATCTGACTTTTTAAGTTATAGCAAAAAAATACCATCTAAGTCATTTGCTTAGGTTTTCCTCCCAGTGGCCAGAAGTACTTAGAAAATTAAAGGTTGCTGGGTGAGTATGGAGGTAGAAGGAAAGTAATTGTTGTTGTTTTTTCTGGTGTTGGGATTGATCTCAGAGCCTTAGCACTGAGCTGCCTCCCCAGCCCTTTTTTGTTTTCCATTTTGAGTCAGGTTCTCACCTAGTGCCTAAATTGCCCAGGTTGGGCTTAAATTTGTAATCCTCCTGCCTCCTCCCTCCAGCTAGGGGATTACAGGCATGTATCACCATTTACAGCTAGTAGATTCTTAAAGAATATAGCATGCCAACTCTGACCTTCCAAGGATAGTTTTGTCTCCATAATGTAACTTTTTGGTACTGGGGATTGAACTCAGGACCTTGCACTTGTAGGTGCAGTGCCACTGAGCTAAATCCCCAACCCCTAATAATATAACTTATTGGTCACTTTTCTAAGGGATTATGTGGTACAATAATTAGAAAAGAATCAGAAACTTGAGTCTTCATGTTACAGACAAGAAAATGTAAACTTCTATTTAACTGTATTCACACACTTCACTGACTTAGAAGCAAGGTCTCTGTACCTTGGCAGTGTACAGAAACTTGCTGCTTTTTAAATTCTTTTAGAAGGTTTGAGGGTATAACTCAGTGCCACAGGACTTGCCTAGCACATGGGGAGTGGGGTGGGTTTGATCTCTATCACCATGAAAGAAAAATAAAAGTAAAACCATCAAAATTCTGTTAGCAAGGCTTGTTTTCAAAAAATGCCTTCTGGTTTCACTCTTTCACACCAGACTAAACCATACCAAACCTAGATTATTTCAGTTGGCTTTCCTGTTCTCGCCTTCTGACCCTATTTGTCATGTCCCCCAATCCATTATATCTGCTATTAGCTGATTAGAATCAGACTTCCACAGATCTTTTCCCCAAGAAGCCCTACAAGGTCTATTAGTGCCTGGCAGTTAAAGGTAGAATTCTTCTTTCTCCTTGAGTCCTTCCTTCCCATCAAGGCAGTAAGATGGCCCAGATCTCTCCTCTGTCATATCTTAACTGCTTACCTATGGCTGAACCTTTTTACCTTTGAATATGATTAAGGTACTGCATGTTTTGACACAAGGCCTTTTAATGTGTCCCTAGATTAACAAAGTCCTTTCCCCTCACAAACCTCCAGCAAGTATTGTATCGTAAACATCTCTAATGATGGAACTTCTTTTCAAGTTGCAGAACTAGAAAGAATGGGATTTCTTAATATATCTTGTAATATTTCATGTGATTCTGAAAAATTTTGTGATCTATCTCTAGCAGCTTCATAGCAAAGTTGTTGGAGATAGCACATCTAAAAGTGTCTTACCTTCCTGTTGTATTTAGCCAATCCTCAAGAATAAACCACCCTTTGACAACTTAACACAGTGTTTGCTTTTTTATTGTCATCCCCTCCTACCTCCCATGAATCAGTAGTACCCTATCCCTGTTGAAAATGTGGCTTTGGCACAAGTGACGCAGGCAAGAATTTTTAAATGTTCCTAACTTAATACTAAAGGTGAGTAGCAACAAAAATTGAAGAACCAGAAAAGTAGCACTTTTAAAATTTTTAGCTTATTGTAGGTAAGTTTAACCTAGTTCATGGATTCTAACCCTTACCCCATTTCCCAGAAGGGTACCTGGTTTATTTATACCTTCTGAAAGTGACTTGTCATTGGGTAGGGGTGGTAAGCAGCGATGATCCCCAAGTCCTATGTGACAGTCTTTCCCACTTTCTGGCATGCCAGGGTAAGGTATACTAACCGTCTGTTTGGGCCTGCCCCAGATTTCACCCCTAAAGGCAGAATGACTTCCTCATAAACATAACATGTCTGGTTTCTCCATAGGAATCCAAAGTTTTTGTAAGGACTTGGTGGAGGTGGCAGACATTTTGGAGAAAACTACTGAGTGCATTTCTGAAGAAACAAAGGCTGGGGACCAGAAGCTCACTCTGGAGAAAGTCTTCCGAGGGTTGTCACTTCTAGAAGCAAAGCTGAAAAGTGTATTTGCTAAGCATGGTCTGGAGAAGATGGCACCCATTGGTGATAAATACGATCCCCATGAGCATGAACTCATCTGTCACGTGCCAGCTGGTGTTGGGGTACAGCCTGGCACCGTGGCATTAGTAAGACAAGATGGCTACAAACTTCATGGCCGCACCATTAGACTTGCCCAGGTGGAAGTGGCAGTAGAGTCTCAGAAGAGACTATGAACAGGCCAACAGGAACAGAATATTCTCCCAGGGTGCAGTCACCTGTGTTTCCTTTATTTATTAATCTAGGTTTGTATTGTACATGAGGTACTTCATGTGATCTTTTTCAGATATATATAGTCATATTGGCTTTATTTCTAAGATTCTGTTGATTTTATATGACCCATTTGGTCTTATCAGAAGTCTTTACTATCAAGCATTTGAACAATATGACAGATGTTCTTATGGCCTTTATCAAAATATGTTTACGAAAATTATCTTTAAATTGGTACTCTGATTGACTTTGAATTCAAAATTCACTTAACTATGTATCTTCAACTAATTGCTGAAATTAGTACAATATCTTGTGTTTTGTGGTATAAGACAGTAGAGATTGAGTCAACATGTGGGTATTTAGATGATAAAGCTTTATTTACACTTATATAAAAATTTAGATCACTTGGGTTGGTTTTTATATACATGGATTTTCAGGACTTCCCTTGTATTATAATTTTCATTTAACCATCCTTTGTGGTCCCTGCTAGGCTTTGTACTCACATCACTGTTCCAAACCCACCCCTTTCCAACTCCAGTTGGAAGGGCTAAAGGGTCAGGCTAGACTTGAAACTAGAGAACATCAAGCAATTTGAGGTACCTCCCTTTCAAGCAGAGAATTATTTTCATCCTTTCTAAATATATCGTAATTTCAGGCAAACAGGCAGCACCCACAGCTCATGACCCAAATGGGTCTATATAGGTAATAGAGCTACTCCTCCCACTTGCCCAGACTACACTTCTGTCAAATTTGCCTTGGAATACTCTATTGGATTATGAGGGGATGGTGATCTGGACAAAAACATTAGGTTCCCACAGTTTCTCATTCAGTTATGCTGAGTCTTTTGGTTTTTGTTTGTTCGTTTAATTGGAACTCAAATCACTACCTCTCTTAACACTGACAAACTTTATTTTTTGTTTTTGTGGTGCTTAGAATCAAACCCAGGGTCTTATACATGCTGTGCTCCTGAGTTATTTCTCTAGCCCTGACGGCTTTATTTCCTAGGTTTTGTATCCATCTTAAATTACATTTGTGTAAACATCTAGTTCCCTTTTTATGTATTAACCTCCTGAATATAGTTGACCTGTGTATCTTTTTCAGTCTTACTTTGTAGCTAGTGTTGTATAAAAGCCATGTCCGAGAAATGACCAAGTGTATGAATAATATATCAGTCAGATGTTAGAAGTCTTGGAGATATTTTAATTTTAGAAGAGGGTTTAATCTAATTTTATCCTTTCTGCTTCTTCTGAGTTATAAGTAATCTTTTTTTAGGACTGGACTCAAAGGGGAAAATCTCAATATAACTTTAATATGGAGAAGTAGATACGATGTTCAATAATTAAAGGTTAATATACATGCAAATGTGTCCCCAGCAGACAGTTAGTTGTTAGATGTACAGATTGTATAAATTCATCACCACAAAATCCACTTCCCCTGGAACTCCAAACCCTATAAGGAAGCAAAATTGGCTTCCTTTCACACCCTTCTAAGTTTCCTTGACTACGCTGTGAATTAAACTGACGTAAGATGGAGAAAAACATACTTCATTATTATATATGTATGTATGTGAGACTCAAGGGCCAGGTAGTCGAAGCTTCTGTGGCATCCTGAACTATAAAATTGGTCTCCTACAGTCATATTTTGGGGTGGTTAGTTATCCTTTTAGGCAGTAGAGATAAATGTAAGATACTACACAGACACGTAATGATAAAGTCATCCTCTAAAATATTACCATCTCCACCAGATCTTCAAAAAGCAAATGGGGAGTGGGGATGGTATAACTCAGTGTCGAGTGCAGAGAGTAGGGGGCCGTAGACAAGGAAACATGCACTCTTAAAATGGAACCAAAAGATTCTTGGAATTCCACTAAGTGCATACTATAAATGTAATGAATAATCAAATTTACATTAGGAATTTGTCCTTTTTTGCCTTAATTCCTATCATATTGCCAGATGGTAACAATAAGAAAATGAGCCAGTTAGCCATGTGGGCTTTGGAATTACTAGCTATCATATCAATGAACTGGAATTAGCCATAATCTTATGTATGAAATGTTCTGATTACCTGAAGAGTTTTCTGATACTCTTTTTACCTCCTGTTTTTGCAGGTAGATTGAGAATAACTTTTAGGTTCTTTTGTTGTTCAGTAATTTTGCAAACTTAAAATGCATGATTAGAACTAGAAAATAAAGCTATAATAGTAATATGTCAAATTGAAGGGCTTCAGGGAGCCAGAGCTGCATAATAAGAGATTAGGCTTGTTAGCCATAGATTTGAAAATAAGTTTCAGCTGTCACCTGTATAACTTTGGGCACCGGTCATTTCACTCCTCTGAGTTTATTTATAAAATGATTATAATAATTCTCTCGTGATACTGTGAGGATTAAGTAAAATGTGTAAATTGCCTACTTCCGTAGGCCTTCATATTTATTTTTATTTTTTATGTACATTTTTTCTGCATTTTTATAGCTGCCTAAAGTGTAGGGAAAGAGGAAGACTCCATAAAGGCTGATTACTTTTTTAAAATTGTAAACTAATCATTTGCAGTGACTTATTTTCCTTCCAGTTCTTGTTTTTTTTGTTTCACAACAACAAAACACATTTTTTTAGACTGAAGAAGCAAAAAAATTGTGCTCATGCTCTTATTTTCATCTTTATCTATATAAAGTGAAAAGACATTAGCTTGTAGGTGACATGTAAGGAAACTTCCTCACTTGAAGAGGGGATTTTGGTGTATTAATACTTCGATTCTACAAATCTTTTACTGACTTTACTGTCATAAAGGAATCATTTTGGCACTGACATTTTATATTTGGTGCTCTTAATTCATGACAAAAATTTGATATATAAACAGGTTCTCAAAACACTACAGCACAAGGCAAATAAGGAATACTAAGGGTGAAATGTAATATTCAGAATTGTAATAAAACCCAAATTGAAATAACTGCAATTCGAGTGGGTTTTGTGTGTGTGTTTGTTTGTGGTTCTAAGGTTAAAAGCCAGAGCTTCGCACAGGCTAGGAAAATGCATGTACCCCTGGTCCACAGCCACCAGCCTCAAGTTCATGTGTTTAGAGGATTTGTCTACCTGGTTCAAAATGTATACTTGGGTGACTGCTGATCAGCGCGGGGGTGTGCAGGAGAAGTGCCTTAGATAGCACAGCAGAGTGTATGCTGTGTATGTTTTCGATCCCTGCTCGCTTCCGTGTGAAAATCTCTACCTTCTGTGTTCACTTTTTAATTTAGCTGTCTTACGCATTTTACTGCACTCCTGCTGACCATCCTCCTAAGCAGATTGCTCGCATTTGGCCTCGGTCTGACCCTTCAGCTTCCCTATGTCTTCCCAGCTTCTAACTACCTGACCTTGTCTTTTCCTCCTCTCAGTTGGATCCCATATACCCAGCTTCCTGGCTAAGTGTCCCTCTTTGGAATGATCCTTTCCTGAGATTTGCCTTTGAACTTTACTCATTGTTCCAGACCTGTCTACTGTAGGCCCTGGTTCCATGACCCATCGTTTCCCTTATTCCCAGTTCTAGGCAACTAATACATCTTTCCTCTCCATTCAAACTTGGCCAGCGCTCTCAAGTTCACTGTGGTAGTTTTTAAACAACTCCAGTTTAACACATTGGGGGTGGGGGTTGTATCTCTTCTTGAATCTCCTTGGAGCTTTGTTGAATGCTTGATGAGTAGAATCCAGTTGAAATGTCACTGCCTATTTCTGGACCAAAACCTTAAAAAACAACCTCACCTATCTTGAACAACTCACCCTTGAAACCTGACCATCATGTCAAGATGCCAAGTTTACGTGATGTGTATAGTGGGAGGAGGGCTCTGACAGCTTTCAGCTGAGCTAGCACCATCCTGACAGCCACCATGGCAGTAGATCCACCCCTGGGGGAGCAGCCTCGGTGACACCACGTGGGACAGATGCGCTGATCTCACTGAGCCCTACCCAAAGTTATTTGTGGGCAAAATAAATGAGTCATAAAGGGAGCTCAGTGGTCAATCCTTCTAGCGCCACGAAAGAAAAAGGAAAGTATTAATTCAGCCGCATCTTTGTTAGTGATCCAGTTTCGACCTAGCAAGACTCAGGAAGCTGACTTGGAATCTAGTTATAAATTCATTTACCATTCCCTGAATGCCTTCAGTTTTCTTCTCTTGGCCATATTCTGAATGACTAGTCTCCTTATTTTGAAACTCACCCTAACTTTACTCCTCTGCTAGGGTATATCTGTCCTTCACGGTGTGGTACTGACCACACTGACTGCTCTTGTTTCTTAGAGGATGGAAATGGAAAGATATCCATACCGTTTCTCCTTTCTGAAAAGAGTGAATGAAATTCTCCCCCCTCCCTTTTTGAAAGCAGTAAAAGGCAGAGATATATTAAAAACTGCAAACATAGGTGAAAACCTCAGTATCGAAAGTATATGATCTTGTTTCAGCCGATGCCTAGGATAGCGTCTAGTCTCCTAGGCTGCCTGCTTGGTCAGCACTTCCCGACCCTTGCAGACACTTAACTCCGCGGGGTTTCGCGTCCATTATCTCGTGATCGTCATAACCATCTGGAAGGGTACAGCGGGGGTTACTCTGTCCTTTTTATAAAAGTGGAAACGGAAAGGCAGAAAGGGCACGTCACAGAGCTGGGAAGCCTCTAAGGCTGAACTACAGTTCTTCTCCATCCATCTTCCCGGCAGCTGAGACCCGGTCCTCAAACTGAGATCCAAAGGCGCGCACTCCTGCGCTGGAGAGGAAGGAGCAGCCTATGAGGATCCTGCATCCGGGAGGTGGGACGGGTAGGCCGCCAATGATAGGATCCTGTCCGGGAGATCTGTAACTAATGAGGGCTTTGTACTGGTGAGGGATGGCTGCTCTACCAATGAGAGGCCACGATCGTCCTGGAAGGCGGAACGGCCAGTGAGGCGCCAGGGCGGGGCGGGGAGCAGAGCGCCAACCCGGGCACTGGGGAGCCCCCGCGCGCTACCCGGATCGCTGCCAGCCATGGCCTGCGCTGACCAGCTCCTCGCCGTGCTGGCCACGCTCCTCGCCGCAGCCTCTACAGGCGGAGACGCCAGGCCCAGCAAAATTGGTGCGGGAAAACGCGGTGGGGGGGATGAGCCGGGGAGGGCTGAGCGGGGGAAAAAGGTTAGCAGCCGGCTGCAGCTGTCTGAGGTGAGGGGAGGGCAGTTGGGCGAGGGAGGAGTGTTCGGGAGAGGAGCTGGGTGGAGGAGAGGCCGAGGCGATGGGCGGGACTCGGCGAGGAAGGAGACTGCACACGGAAGGTGCTGATGTGGAAGGTGGCCTGGGCATGCGAACAGGGCCACCTGGGACGGCAGAGGCCTGGCTGGGCAGGACTGGCCACTGCTCTCAGGAAGATGCAGGGTCACAGAGCATCTAGCGAGGACTTGGCTCTTTGCCAGGCGCGCCTGGATGGCAGAGAACAGGAGCTGGGCGATGGTATTCGCAGAGGTCTATTGAGGTCCGTCTGTGTGGCCTAGCGCCCCGTTACCTGTTTGGAGCAGATTTCAATGTGCCGAGTCCGTTCTAGGCCTGAGTCAGTACTTGATCAGAGGAAGGGTGCCTCTCCAGGCGTAGCCTGCTCTGGGAGGGCCTCCTGGGAGTAACTTCTAAGCCCTAACTTCTGGCCAACGGGAGGCATCTCCTCTGAGACCCATGAGTAGGTCTGCTAGAGACTTTGAGGTGCTGAGGTTCGAACCAAGGGCCTCACACGTTAGGCAAACGCTCTCCCACTGAGCTACATCCCCAGCCCAAGTGGGAAACTTAACGGCTATCATAATTTCTTTACTATTTCTGTGATTTTTTTTCCAATATTTTATTTTGAAAAATTTTCAAATACACAACAAAGTTGAAAGAATTTCACAGTGATCCACCCCATCACTAGATGCTCCCCTTCACTGCTGTTCTACTTGCTTTGTCACAGAGCTGTGACACCCTTCTGGCCACCCACGAGTCCTAACCTTTGATGCATTTCACAATAAATTGCAGATATCAGGAAATCTCACTAAATATGTTAGTCGTGCTTGTCATGAATGAGAGGTCCGTATTTGCTCACAGTTGCTTTTTTTTCCTCCTCTTACTATCGTTTTAACTCTTCTGGACTCAAATATTTTCAAGTCCCTTACCAACTTCACAGAAGTAGAGAAGCTGGGCTTCCATTGTGAAAGACAGAGTGCCAGCTCTCCTCAGCTGCCCTCCATGTGCCCCATTTGACAGGAGTGCCTCAGGACATGTCGTTGGAGACCGGAAGTGTCAGGGCCACTGCAGTGCTGAGCTGATTGTGCTAGAAAACCACGGCCAGCCATAAATAACCCAGGCTGTACTCAAACTTGCAGTAGTCCTCCTGCCTCAGCCTCCAGAGTACTTGAACTGTGCATGTTATGTCACCATGCCCAGCTCCAGGGGGCTGTTTAATGAGTATCTGTTTAGCTTTGGTAGTGGGGTACCGGGAATTGAACTCTGGTCCTTGTGCTTGCAAGGCAAGCAGTGGAACCACTGAGCAAATCCCCAGCCCTTAATGAATATTTGTCTATACAGTGATTCCTAGCATAGTAGCATCTCTGAGCTCTGTCCAGTGAAATGTTTTTATCAGTGACTAGGAAGAGCATACTGATGGTATAGGAACCAAGTTTGCAAATAACAGGAATGCAGGAGGAATGGTAAAGAATGGATAAGTCCCACGAAAAAGATGTCAACAAATAGAAACTGTAATAAGAGTCCAACTTGGGCTCTTATAAGTGACAAGCAGCTTTCCCTAAGGTGCATTTCAGCCTTGGCACAGACTGATTTAATGATTTAAGTGGCAGGTGGTAGGTTGCACTTAGACCAAAGGCCAGAAAGAAACCTTTTCTGTAAAGGGCCACAGAGCAAATACTTAAGGTGTTGGGGCCATTACAGATTCTGTTACAATACTTAACTCTGCCTAGCAGGAAAGTAATCATGAGCAGTAAGAATATGGCTGTGGTGTGAAAAACTGTAGTCAGGCACAGTGGCGACAAAACACTTCTGCAGTATCAGGACCGAGGAGAATGACCTAAGCCCAGGAGTTCAAGCCCAGCTGGGACAACACAGTGAGACACCACATCCTGCAAGTAGCAATAATTTTTTTTTTCCCTCAAAAAACAAGCATCTGGCCGGACGTGGTGGCGCATGCCTGTAATCCCAGCACTTGGGAGGCTGAGGCAGGAGGATCACTGTGAGTTCGAGACCAGCCTGGGCTACATAGTGAGTTTCAGGTCATTCTCAACTACATAGTGAGACCCTGTCTCAAAAAACCAAA